CTGCCCCCACCGGGATTCGAACCCGGGACCTCTCGAGTCGGCGACACCATGAAACCCGGCGTACAAACGGATAGATATAAGGTGCTAAACTGACCGCGCAATGCATATATACATCAGACTCTGACGGCTTAGCGTGTCTTCCGAATCACGAAGGAACTCGTGATAATTAATTTTGGTCACGCATCCTATGACATAACAAAGCGAAAGTTGCTTAACCTCCACAATCAGAGACTGACCTCGCTTAAGAAACTGCGCCACTTAATTCATAAAATGTCTATTATTACTCAGGTATTTGCAGATTTTTAATGTGAAACTTTTATTACATAGCCAAAAAAAAATCGTTTAACTTTAGCATATCGTATTACATTTTTAATTGTTGTTAAAAATTCAGACCGTATCAAAACAAAACGCATCGATGGTTCAGTGGTAGAAAATTCGCCTACTACGCGGGCGGCCGGGGTTCGATTCCCAGTCGAGGAAGGACTTTTTTTATTAATGATTTTAAAAGTTTCGCTAGCATAAATTAGTATGGTTGCTGAAACCATGAGTTTCACAAAACCAAACCAACTTTTTATTATATGCTGATATTACACAAAAGCGTTTTAAAGTAATTGGCTATTTGCAACGGCTATTTGTTATTCCGTGTCATCCAATATCAACAATTAAATTACATTACCGCTATCGAATTGCTTCCCATTAAAAATAGTCATAGAATGCGAGTTATAAATTTCAATGACCTGTTGAACCTGGTTTTTTAGGGTACGTCCGTACCCAGAGGGTAAAAAAGGACCCTGTTACTAATACTCCACTGTCCGTCTGTCTGTCACGAGGCTGTTAATCTCATGATTTGTGATAGCTAGACAGTTAACATTTTGACAGATGATTTATTTCTCTTGCCTCATAGCGGCAAAGAAATACTAAAAACAGGATAAAAATAAATATTTATTTATTTATTTCAGATTGCACTTGTACATTATTTATTTTAAGGGCTTACATATTTGATAGTAAGTGGTACATGACCCCGTTGGGTTGCAACAAACTTGAGCTTAACATTAAATATACTCCCAGACACATCTATCGGCCCACCTAGCATTTTAAGTTTTGATTTGATGATTCGGGCCTCAAAAATTAAAGTTACATTTAGCAAAAAGTTTTTACGTAGTTCTGAAGCTGATTTATTAACCATCTATTTCGTGTGTTCTTTAAATATATTATTATTGCATAGCCTAACATATTTTTTTGTTACAGACCGATGTAACTTCAGTGGGCCGATAGATGTGTCTGGGAGTGTATATTAATTTTACGACGCAAAAATGTTGAAGGTTAATTCAAATTAAATCAATTGAAGTCCAACCAAATTTAAACAAAATCAATCAAATTTAACAAATAAAAAAATAATCAAGTCAAATTATATCATAGTCACATCATTATCATCATAGTCATATCATATCATCATAGTCAAATCATATCATAACAAATTAAATTAACTTCATTGTTCCCAGCTAGTTTCTCCCACTCAGAGTGATTTAATAATCTCCGTCTGTCGGCTAGGCATGACCGGGCATCGATTGATCACGATTGTGTTAGCTTCCCTGTCCTCCAACAAAAACCCCACCCAACCAGACTTAGGCCCTGTTTGCTATGGAGGACGCCGTCATTATTGCCGGTGTAGCAAACACGTGCAGTGGAGTTGTAACGCAACCAACCAACCGTAACGGCAGGTTGCTTTCCAACTTCTCTGACTTCATGATGTTTAACATCATAGTGCCCCTTACACTCACCCATTTCCCTTCCCAAACAGGTCACACTGCTCATTCTCTAGACCTGTCCTTACTTTAGAACGTAGCTCTTAGGCTGCGCTCGATAGAAACGGTTCATGAACTCTCATCCGACCATCGCCCAGTTATTTTACAATTGGGCCCATCTTCTGACCTCCCATCCTCAAGAACAGTGACGAACTGGAGGAAGATCAAGAAACAATCGAACCCTCCATCAGCTCGCCACTTAACTCTATCCCCGACCACATAACCTCCCCTCTCGAAACCCTCTCCACGATCGGAGCCTTCATGAGTCATCTCACTTCCGCAATAAACGAGGCGTCCCGACAGGTTCCAGCGATACCAGGCCATCGTTGCAACCTACCGGACGACGCTAGAGAGCTGTTAAGGGCAAAAAACGCTGCCACTAGAGCACTCGAAACCTACCCTACGGGCGACAACCGCTCCCGATTGCGTACTTTGCAGTGTGCTGTTAAGGCGCGCATGAAGGAAATGCGGGAGTCTAAGTGGGACGAACTACTTGAAGAGATCTCGTCATCACCCCAAGCTTATTGGAAGCTCGCAAGATCCTTGAAGTCAGAGGTGAATTCTCTATGCCTCCCTTGACCGATCGATCGCGTTCAACGACGACGAAGAGGCCGATTACCTGGCCGACAGCCTGAAGGTGCAGTGCTCGCCTAGCACTCTCCCTGTACCTCTGAAACACGTCCAGTTAGACGACTCGGAAGTCGAAAAGTCCTCCTCCGTGCCGCCCATCGCCACCCTTGAAACAGTCACTGTAGATGAGGTGCACCCATTAACACGTAAACTGCGCCCGCGTAGCGCCCCAGGATCCAACGGAATCTCTAGTAAGGACCTTAAAATCTTAAGGTGCTTACTAGAGATTCCGTCGGATCCTGGGCTCCCTTGCCTTATCACCGCGATCTTTAACGCGAAACTTGCGTTTGCCCTATCATGACCTATGCGAGTGTTTGCTTCACCCACATATTTATTTATTTAAATATCGATTTGCATCGCGATCTCAAATTAGATTCTATTCCGAAGTACATGGAGGACGCCTCGAGACGTTACTTCGATAAAACCGCGCACCACCAGAACCCCCTAGTAGTTAAAACTGCCAGTTATCACATGTCCGCCCTGCGTTCTTCCACTCGTATAGTTCCCTCCGATTCCATCGGTTTTAGAATATCCCAACGACAAAATCCCCGCGCCAACACGCCTTCCACACAGGCCACAAACACCAGCACTATACAGCTAGCAAACTTCCACACGACCTTAGCATTAGGCAGACACCGCACCCGTAAGATAAGAGAGCGAAGACCCGGTCTACACACGGCAAGCTATACCAGGTACAGATACGTACCCGGGCGTTTTTCCCCGCCTCCTACGAGAACGGCTAACTAGAGCCTAGGTCCGACTCTCAGAGACGCCCTCTAGTTGAGCCAAAACCCTCAGGTTCGAGTTGTCTAGAGGTTCCAGATGGAGAGGAGACTCCCCCGGTGAGGAGATGCCATCCGCCTGGAATACCTCTAGAGGCACTCGCCAACTCTCGGCTTGAAGTCCCCTTGGGATCTCACCGTTCCCAAACCCGGCGACTGCGGCGGATGCCAACGAAATTACAGTGCGAGTTTATAGATGTCAAAGCCGCCGCGTTCCACCTAGACACCGAGAGCCGCATTTCACTATTATATTTAATTTTTTACCAACAACGTATGAAACATAATGTCTATTTGATTGACGTAGGTTCCAACTACATTCCGCAGTGAAGGTATGGAATGCGAAATGTCTGCATCTTGTAAAGTCATTGATTTTGTTTATAGGTTTCATGTATCGTGACGTAACATCCAAGCATCCCAAAATAGCGCACGTTTAAACTGAACGTGCAAAGTGGCTATTTTTAACATTTTTAGACACTTTTTACTATTTTGTCGACTTTGATTCATTTTATACTGTATGAAGGGGATGAAAGTACTAGATTAAAAAATATTAAAAAAAAACATGGATATTCCCTTTTACCTAAGACTTGTTTGCACTGATAAGAGCCAACTTTAGTTAACAGAGAACATAATATTTATAACATTTATTCGTGCTTTTTGTAAATGCATTTTAACGTTTATTAATCCGAGTGCTGTGTACCGAAAAAAACAAAGCTTGTTAAATTCTAGAAATAAAAAAACGAGCGAGCCTTACAAAAGTCGCGTATGATGTGAATCATTTGAAACCTCACCTTATATTAGTAAAAATAGAAATAAAACCTACTACAAAAGGAATAAGCCATTTGAACATTATGTTCTAAAATCAAATCAAATAGCGCGCGCTTTCGCGACTTCCTGTTACACACTTCCGTCCCATTTTACGAAATCACTCCCACAAATTGCAGGAAAGCGAGAGGAAAGATGTTACACATCAAAAAATAAAGAACGTATTAGATAGATTTTTGCTCAATAACAGCTCCAGTTATGTACCCCGAATTCCACATTGCATTCTAATCAGGCATTCCAATATATCCAAACCGTGCAGTAAGTAATGTGCTAAATTAAATATACAAAGCATATCTAATGTTGGGTACACGCTTACTACACCGACCTTTTTTCAGTCCGTTAACCACTAGTTAGTTCATTGAATCTTCTGTGTCATGTCGAGCGTTCCCTCCATTCTAGTGTCCGGTCGCGTAATGTTATTATTTACATGCAATAACTTCAAAAACCATTCGATACACCAAATCAAGTTTCATTACACTGAGCATTAACTTGAACGCTATTATTATCAGTACGTGGATTATGGGTTGCTTAATTATTAACACATATTCTAACATCAAAAGAACGAAGTAGTAAGTTCAAAAGTCATATCATAAGAGAGTCATAGCGGATTTTCGGCTCGAAATGGAGCTCCCGTCTGAGGAAGTTATCTCTAGCTTACAGAAGATCACATTAAAACAAGCCTACATTTTGGTGGATTGGTCTTTCTATCATTGAATTAGTTTCCAGAGCCCCACGGGGTAGGGGATTGGGTCATGTTAGGTAACGAATGATATTTTTGGTATAGCAGGCATCTTTTGGCTATGGTGGCTGCTTACCATCAGGCAGACCATACCGCTTGTTTGCCACCCTTTTAACATACAAAAAAAAAACAATCATCCATACCAAATTAGATTTTGTGACGCTAGAGACACTATCATTGACTATGATATTCCATCATTTCAAAGCGATTGTTTTCCTACAGTACCCATCAGACTCGGACAGCGAATCGGTCTGGGAAACAGCAGAGGTGACATTAGAGCGTGGTGCCAACGGTCTTGGACTCAGCATAGCTGGAGGTGAAACGGGCGGTGACGTCAGCATCACAAGGCTCGCAGCAGGGGGCGCCGCGAAAAAGGACGGACGGTTACAAATTGGAGACATCCTGTTAGAAGTGAGTAAATTGCCGTCCCTATTGAAACCATACCGACCAGTGACAATGTAGCCTTTGGGAGGAATATTAATCGATATCATTTCATTTCATTCTTCTTTAGAAGAAAAATGAACTCGAATTTTCCTAGAGTTTGATAACACGGTTTTTTTATTCAACAACCGTATATGAATGGCTATTATTTTAGAATAATATTGTAGCTCACAAAAAATATCATACATACGATATTAGCTCGCTAGTTATAAGGTACCGTGCTATTGGAAGTCAGTGGTATGGTATATGTATGGCGTAAGCATGTGAAATGTATATCCATATTTTTATTAAATAGGATAAAATTAGCATTTTGTGGTCTCTGCAGACCCCGGATGCCGATTGACCAATCAAATATTTTCATCAATCAAAGTCAACAAACTAAAATAAATAAAAACGAGTGTGCTTATGACCACACGACTGAAGTGAAAGATTTTGAAGTGAAAACTTCTTTAGCGGCGTTGTGTACTTTTTTTTTGTATGGGTAAAAAATGTTAAACTCGCGTCAGGTTAAACACGTGGGCTTATCGCATCATGACACACAATAAAATTGGAAAGGTTGTTGACTTTCATTATATTGGACGAAACATAGTGATATTTTATTTCTATCTAGGACGTCCACGTGGCAGCTTTATTACGAAGAAAATGCAATTTTTACAATAGATGTCGCTAGGTGCGCTTAAATGTGATTCATGTAAGTTGATTTTTCTGAGAGATTAACTTTTTTAATGTAATATAAATTGTCATGTTTGTGTACGATAGCGTAATAAATAAATATTATATTCTACCACATACATGATAGTACTTTTATACTGATAACTAGCGGCCCGCTCTCGCTTCGCTTCGGTGTAGAACTGAAGTGTAGACTACAGTTTTTTTTCACAGGCTTGTATTATACACAATGATATTCATCTATGATTCTTCTTATACCTGAATGCAAACTCTCAGCCCGATCGGTTTAAAATTGACAAAGGTTCATACAAACTTTCATTCTCTATTTTATCCCCTTGGGGGTAGAATTGATCAAAATCCTTTTTTAGCGGATGCCTACGTCATAACATCTACCTGCATGCCAAATTTCAGCCCGATCCGTCCAGTGGTTTGGGCTGTGCGTTGATAGATCACTATGTCAGTCAGTCACCTTTGAGTTTTATATATAAAGATTAAAGCAATTCGTGCAAAATTCTTCCCCAACCATTCCAAAATATCAAAAATGCACAACGTTTTCACTTCTGCCGGCACTCCCGGCGTGCAACCCATCGTTTTTTTTAGCTCCATCTGTATGTATATATGTGTGTATACAATATGCGTGCGAGTGTAAAGAACTTTCACTTCTAAAACATTCGCAAAATGTGACTTATTACTAACAGCATCTATTTAATCGATGATGGATAAATGAATAAAAAAACAGAAGAGAATGATTTCGGAACAAGCACAGGCCCTTTCAAATATTCTATATTTAATAAGTATAAATAAAATAGTAGTTGATTCTATTTCAACGTTTACTTTAGAAGTTAAGGAAGCTTTCTGTCGCCTTTGATAAATAATTGATTTTAATGCTTAAGGCCTACTGGCCATCGACATTGTGTGAAAGCTGCGTGGGTTATATTTAAATGTTTTACGAGTTCTGCTATAAAGGAAGGACCGCAGCGAAAAGAAATAAAAATACGTAAAATAACAATTCAAAAGTTTTTTTATTATGCAGTTAAAAGTCCTCGCGGGAAGTTACCTAACGACATCCTCCAGCGACTTGGCATTTTGTTTAATGAAATTTAAAGCAACGATGGAGGCTTAATTTGACGTGAACGAGGAAAAAACAATTGCTTCCGTTCGAAACTTTCAATGAAGGTCAGTTTAATATGGGAAATATTTAATTGATGCTCAAATAAATAATAAATGAATACCTAAAAATACCTAAAAATACAATTAGCAACCTAAAGGTCACATACTATTTTTTGATGATAATTTAATTATGTGCCGTTTAATTAGATGACTTACGATGGAAACAAATAATTGCTGGTTGGTTACAAAAGCGCAATTACTTTGTGATCACATAAGACCATTGTTTATATATAATCTTCTTACATTTCTTTCGATGGTGTACCGGGCGATGTTATATTTTTGGTATAATAGTCAGTATTTTTCAACGAGAGCCATAAAGAAGGCCTTCAAGATAACCTCAATAAATTGCCTCTGTATCTCAATGTGAAATATGAAGGAGATATTATGCTGACGGATGTAATCTGTACACCAACTGATTTATGTTGCCACGTTTTATAGCTTTTATAGATACAAGTTCGAGTTTAATGCGAATGAACTATTTTCAAATTGTTAGGGCTTCGATTTTAAAGACTCGTATAAACAAAATCTGGAATAAACTTAAGAGCAATCACAGGTCGTAAGGGCCTTTTAAATGAAACAATGACAGCTTAAATAAATTTATATTTTGAAGTGACGTGGAGTCCGCTCTTATTGGAAAATCAAACAATAATTGCTAAGTGGTGGTAACGTTCACTTTGGACGTGTTTAAGAAACACAAACTTGACTCGTACGCATATGCACCAACAATTTCAACCCTCCTAGGACCTATTGTAGAAGCGTGTTAATATCGAAAATTTTGTTTTTAACGCGCTTCTACAATAGGTACTAATTTTGTTTCTTCCGTTGTTTATGCGTCTTAACGTCTCGCCGTTCACCCGCTAACTTTTCTACGACAAGCTGATCGAAAGTCGGCGTATAGGTATCGTCTAGTTGTAAGCTTGACATCACTTAGCAGTAAAATCGGCGCTGCATAATACGAAGCCAAGTGGATGCACTACGGTGCGGGTCCGGTCCATTTACGTTACTACGTACGTCGTAGCTGGTGGTCGGAGGCAAGGTAATAGACGATGTGCTCCCTTTTCGATTTGATATTATGTGTACTAAGTTTCAGGCCTACATTCATATGCTTGCACATTTGGAGTCAGAAAACAATCATTAAATCTTGGGATATCAAAATCATTAGTTGTATTTTATTTTTAAATTCAATGTAAACGTAGAATTTGTAAAATCAACAAAAGACGAGTAATATCTTGTTCATTTTTAAAAATTTGATTTTATTAGAGGCCGGTAATGCCTTACTAAAGAAATAATATTTCGCTAACCCATTTGTATATACATAAGATACCGAGTCTCTATTAGCGAAGATAAAGATTATAAGAGAGGGGCCGAATGTGGTTTCAACCGAATCCGAATTCCAGCCGAACATTCGGTTAAAATGAAAAGTTCGTCCGAATTTCGGCCGAAGTTCGGTTTGATTTCGCGCGCTTTCTCGAGAGTGACAAGTAGTGACATGTTTACGCATTTACTTCTTTTATTGCTGGATGTCGAGCCGGCCGGTTATTTGCAAATACGTCATCAGCCTGCAATTGTTTACAACAAATTAATAGTTTTAAGTGCATTGAAGAGGTCTTAGGTGATAAGTTTTGTTACTGGCTCAATGCAAAATGAGTGTAAGGAAAAAATCAAATGTTTGGACATTTTATACACATACTGGTGCCAATTCTGGCGTGATTCTCTAAACTTAAAACTAAATTTAACATCAGTCTCTCCTTTTCATTCTGTATAGCGAATGAGAAGGATATACTGCTGTCAAATTTCAGTTTAGGTTTAGAGAATCATGCTAGAATCGACATCACTGACCAACTAAATAAAGTTAAATGCTTCTTAGGTGATTCGCTGATATCTCGTGGTGGTAGTGGAAGTTCAGCATCTACTTCTGCGCTGAAAAACCACCTTCGTGTGAAGCATTAATCGAAGTTTGTTGAATTTGATTGATGACAGTTGAAAAAAAATACCCTTCAATTGTAATAAGAAATACTTATGTCAATGAATGTTTAGTTCGTTAACCAATAACGTGATATTTTATTCAATTTACGAACTGTAATCCAGATGTTTGTTAGAAGAAAAATAAGTTTATTTCATTTTTTCAATAGTGTCTAATTAATTAAGCCGAGATTTTTAGACTAATAAGAACAACTGATTTAATTTAAGGTTTACATTTACAATGTTCGTAACTAAAATAAATGACCAAGAGTGAGTAAAAGACATAATTTTATTTTACAGTAATGCCATTCTAATTATATTTAATTTAGTCAAAATAGTGCAAGTAGGTTTTATTTTTCCTGTGCATTCGGCCGAAATGAGCCGAATTGTGAACCGAATTTCGGCCTATCCCTACAGATTATTCATCACTCATTAAAGCGGACTTTACGAAAGCACTTTGATTTCGCTCACCGGGAAACTAGGAATTGGACAAGAACAACTTATCAAGTGAGTATCATAAGGTACTTAAATCGTACAACCGGGAATAATACGTTTACATAAGACAAAATTTCGTCTCTCAAGAGATGTCAATCTGGGACCCACTCCAAAAATGAAAACTGTTTGCCAATTGTACCTCGAGGTACAGTTTGAGTTGAATGCTGCTACACGATCATGGATAAGAAGAGTGAAACTGTGTACAATGTCAATTTTTGGTAAACAAAAAGCGAATATGGAATACATCAAAATTCCCGTATAACATTTTGGGGTTAAATATTTGTCATAAAAAAATAAAATGTTGTTGTCAAGCCGTAATCTCAACGTAAGGCCTGGCAAATATTTAATATCGCTTCGCATCATAGCTATGCACACAAGCTTCTGTAATACATTCATCATCCCCATATGAAATACCAGATAAAATGGCTGGTTTTATTATTTCAAAGACGTATTCCTCATTCCGGCAATTCTCCGCACCTCAACATTATGAATTCTTTACATATTTTGTGAAATCTTTCCAGCTTGTATTCATTTATCATTTTTTATGTGAAGATACTATGCCGTTTCTGTATATCTGATGTTCTTATCGTTTCGTCGATATTTAGGTACTTTTTAACAAATAATGTGTAAAATTTGGAAGGATGTGCAGTGCAACTTTTTAAATTTTCTAAAAGCAAATTATTTTTGAAACTTTTCAAAATGTACTTACTTTCTAGAACTTTCTTCCTATTATTTACGAATAATAGTAAAAATCAATCGTTTTAGTAACTAAATTATCATCACTGATTTTCCTAAATAAAAAAAGGATTGAAGAGAGGTAGGGCATAGCGGATTTGCCGCTGAAATTGGAGCGCCCGTCTTGTAAAGTAACCGCCACCTTACAGAAGATCACAGTAAAATAACACTTCCTTTTAGTGGTGTTGTATTGCTGACGGTAAATAAGGTTCGATGGCCACGGGGTAGGGGGTTAGATTAGGATAGGCAACGGTGCGAGTGATATCGCAAGAGTCTATAGACTATAGTGACTGCTTATCATCAGGCGGACCATAGGCCACTTGCCAGCCTTTAACATAAAAAAGACATCAAATTTATGTAAGAAACACCTACCTACTATACTTGACTATTTTAAAAGTAGCACACTAACAATTGACGATATACTCGTATTAAGTAATACCTACATAACAGAAAAAATAAGTTTTATTTGTCTTTATTACGTGAGGAGTCCTAAAACAACAGTCACACTAAAAAAGCAGCCAATAAAATAAAAAAAGAAATTAATTAGTAGGAAACTTTCAAAATCTATTTAATTCTAATTTATGTGGGCATAAGTAGATAAGATTGTTTAATTATTCACAACATAATAAACCTAAAGACTTCATAATCAGATTCATTGCAAGTTAAGAGCACAAAAGTCGTGACCCCTGACGCTAACTTATGTTTAAGTAAGCATAGCTTGACCCGTAATTAAGATACCTTGCCCCGAATTAAGATTCATGATTGCCTGTAAATTGATGGAATCCATTTATCGTCGACAACTTCTCATAATTTAGCCATTTAAGTTTTCAATTAGTTATTATTTTACCAAAAGAAACTAAGTAAAAGTACTAGTAAATATGTAACAGTACTGCGAAAACGAGGACACAGGTTCAATTCTCATTTCACGAGTATTGAAGAGACAGACAAGGAAAAAGATTACGATACCTCTCGTGTAAAACTGCGCATGGATAGCGCGTTCCAGAGTACGCGTAGTTGGCTACGCGTACTTAGGCAGTTCAATATAGAAAGTATCCATATAAACAATATACATACAACAATGTACTTGTAGTCCCTGTCGCTGTATCTAATCAAGAGAAGAAGAGAGAATAAGGCATACAGAATTTCCCACTTGAATTGAAGCGTCCGTTTGGGGAAGTAATCTCCACATTATAGAAGACCACAGTAAAATAACACTACTTTTTGGTGATATTGAGTTTCTGGGCTTAAAGGGGTAGGAGATTGGGTCAGGGTAGGCAACGGCGTGAGTGATAATTTTTGTATCGCAAGCGTCGATAGGCTATCAGGCGGGCAAAACGCTTGTTTGCCACCATTTAAACATAAAAAAAAAAACGACGGGTTGCACTCCGGGAGTGCCGGCAGAAGTGAAAACTTTAATATTAACGTTGTACATTTTTGATATTTTGGAATGGTTAGGGAATAATTTTGCACGAATTGCTTTAATTGTCAGTATAAAAGAACTATCATGTATGTAGTAGAATACAATATTTATTTACTATCGTACACAAACATGACAATTTATATTACATTAAAAAAGGTTTACCTCTCAGAAAAAACAAATGAATCACGTTTAAGCGCACTTAGCGACATCTATTGTAAAGAAATCAACTTACATGAATCACATTTAAGCGCACCTAGCGACATCTATTGTAAAAAAATGCATTTTCTTCGCAATAAAGCTGCCACGTGGACGTCCTAGATAGTCTTAATAATATAATACGGTAAAATCAAATATTACTATGTTACGTCCAATATATTGAAAGTCAACAACCTTTCCAATTTTATTGTGTGTCATGATGCGATCAGCCCACGTGTTTAACCTGACGCGAGTTATATATTTTTTACCCATACAAAAAAGTGTACAACGCCGCTAAAGAAGTTTTCACTTCAAAAAAACGCTTGGAAGGACTAAAATAAAAAATAAAACAAAATTGACTACATAAAATGTTATGTATTTATACTTTGCTAAAACTAATACTATGTGAATTTAATTTAGCGTAAATATTCATTTTAACGTAAATAATGTTAGGTAACAGTAATAATTATTATTATTAAAAAGTGGTTTCTATTGTTCAGGTTAACGATATTTCCGTTGAGGGCGCCCCTCATTCGGCAGCTGTAGAAGCGTTGCAACAAGCTGGGAACATAGTAAGACTGGTAAGTAAAAAAATATTTTTTAAGACAAAATTATTTCATTTCAGGCATGTGAGGGACACTTTTACAAGAAGAAAAACTATGGGTTCATAAAACTATTGAGTACAAATTTTCCGTAACGCTTTTTTAATTTTAACACTTACTTTAGAGCTCTATAGAAGCATTATGTGACCTTCACAGGACTTACCAAGCATTATGAAGGGTATATAATTATTAGATTTGTGTAGTGACATAATGAAAGAATTAAGCAAATTAAATATACACCTTTACTGTAGAAAGAAAACGACTGAATTATCTCAATAAGTTATACAAAAACATTATGGAATGTTAACTTAATATGGCATTGAAAGATGCCAAGGTAAGTAACTCTATTATACCTACAATACATTCATTAAAATTCTGTGTTTTATAAACTCCTGCAGTTTAATAATGGATGGCACTATAGAGTACATTGTGCGTATTCTTGCGAAAAGTTAATGCCAATATAATGAAAAGGTGATTTCACAGTTTCTCTTGTTGTAATTTAGTTTGTTTGAAAAGTTTAATCTAGCTATACAAAGTCTTCTTTTTGTTTCCGAAATTGTATTACGCCCTTGCCCTTATAAAAGGCTTTCTAGCCTTTTTAACCTTGTCTGTCTGCAAGGTGCTTTTTACTGTTTTTAATCTTATGACAAAGAAATGAGTCACCTAATCTCTTACTTTGAATTGGAGTTGTTATGGTGACCAAAAAGACGTGAAGAAGCAAAGTACCCTTTTCCAGAATTATATTACGCGACTAATTATCATAATAAAGTATAAAAATAATAAAGTAAAAATACACTACTAACATAATTAGTAAAGTAAATGGGTGAAAAAAGGTGACAGACGAAAATAAAATTTAAGGAGGGAATGTGCATGTATCGCTTCCCTAATCTTTTACCAAGAAGTAAATGGATGAGAAAAGGTGTCAGACGAAATTGAAATATCGAATGAAGTGAATGTATTAAGGTATCTGGAATTACGAAAATACTGGTCTTCCACAGAAAATCATTACCAAATAAATTGGCAACGCTCTACTAAGAACCGCGTGGTACATTTTAAAACCCGACGCGTATTTGCGGCAACGAAAGAGTTGTGTTTGTCACGTAACAATTTAGGATCGACCCCTTTGGGGAACAAGCGGGCTTTTATGTAACGTCTGTTTCTTTATATTTTACTACAGCGAGTAAGAAGAGCTCGGAGACCTAGGGTGGTGAAGCTATGGAGAGGCGCGCGTGGCCTCGGGCTGGGCATAGCGGGTGGGTCGGACGACGCAGCGGGAGGCGGCGGAGTGTTCGTCTCGCACATCGCCGTCGGCGGCGCCGCACACCACGATGGCAGATTAAGATTAGGGGACAAGATATTAGCTGTTAGGGACGAGGACGTGAGTACACATATTTTCTTTGTATCCTCAGACTTGTGTGACGTTCATGGTGTAAGAATGACATGTTTGCATGCAGTTTTTATGCAATCTTTTGGTTTTTGTGTACGGAGTGATTTGGTGATAAGGACAGGTATATTAGAAAGTTTATTGCATAATAAGTTTCTCAACATACAAAAGAAGAATTGGTCATAACCACTCGGACGAAGAGTGTTATTTTTTTGAATAAACGGTGGCAAACAAGCAAAATGGTAAGTAGCCAGCATAGCATATAGACCCCTGCGATACTAGATTATCACTTGCGATGTTGCGAAGATCATGTTATTTCATTATGGTTTTCTATATGATCCATGTTAGGTACCTAACACACTCGCAATTCAGTAATTATAAACAACATAGTGTACCATAACTTCTTAATTAACCGTCGCGACACCTAATTATATTGCAAGACTATTAGATAGGAGCGACAATTTCATCTGATTGCGAACATTAATTTACTTGTATGACGTCGTTGCGAATATTATGACATACCTACGCGTTAACAAATATGAAGCACAATGCCTTATCCATCGTAAAGGCAAGCGACCCTAATACTAATAACAATACTACTCGCTCTTTGTTTGAAGTAGGCATAAGGAAAAAATCTGCAGCTTGTAATCGCCTTTTGCTGAGCCCGCTCTAGAGACAGAAAATCTCTAGGAAAATCTCCAGACATACCTCCATTTAGGTATAGATTGGATATAATAAAGATTAATTCATCTAAGGGCGTCTATTAAAATCTAATAGACGCCCTTAGATGTGAATATTAAAAATACGGTTGTATCTAATTCGATTCACTCTGGCAAGATGCTGATATATGTAATCGCTAATTTAAAAAAATATCCCGAAATAAGCAGAACTTTCAATAATATGGATAGTTTAAAATTTCCTAATACCTACATACTTAGTAGCACTTAGTAGTACTACTTTGTAGGGCATAGCGGATTTTCCGATCAAATTGGAATCTGGAGAAGTAACTCCGCCTTACAGAGGCCATAGTTAAATAAAAATATATTTTGGTCGTGTTGTGTTAATGAAATCAAGACATAGGCCAGTAACGAATGTGTTGCCGATCCTGAAAGCTCTTTTTTTAGACAAAAAAAAATATTTTGTCATATTTAACTTTACCTACATTATTAATGGGGGAAAATGCAACATGCAATTTGAAAAAGAAAATCGTATTCTAAAAAAAACAGAAGATTTATGTAGAAAAACAGGAGATCTCCTGTAAAATCGGGAGACCTGGCAACACTGGTCATCATATTACGCAGATTTCAAATAAAATGGAAAACAGAGCATGATGCTGCTTTCGATTACCTACATGGATTCATCACCATATAAATAAAAAATAATCTTTAAATCTAATTTGTCTTCTTGTCCTTGACATTACCCTAGTTATAAGTTTGGTCGCGTACATGTGTCCTAAAATTGGTTTATTATTCTTTGTTGTTCAGATGTAAGGTGGACGGATTTCCTTTATCCATCTTCACAGAAACATGATAGAACTTATTATGTTTATTCCATACAGCTTCTTGAGGGTGTGATTGATGATTGTTTTTCCTTCATGAAGTCCGGATATTAATCCGAATAACTAACTTTACTAATAACGGGAATGCTTCTATTTGGATAACCATTCTTCTGCTTAAGTATGTTGCGTAATAGATCTGTAACACAAAAAAGTTGAGCACCGATTAAGGTTACTAATATTTATGTGATTCTACTAATCTTTTGTGTTTTTACGATATAAGATGTTTGAATAGAAATAATGAAAGTAAATGCATTTTTATTGAGCTACACAAGATAGGAAATACAAGGTTATAACAAATAAGGGAATAAAAAGAAAACAACCAAGAAACATAAAAGAAAGCAAACGTACACTATCTCTATGTTAAATAACTATCATCACTTATTCAGGACTGAAAGGAGGGTTGGGTACAGCGGAAGCTAAAAGAGAGGTAGGCCTTGTTCATGACTCAATTACATTTGGTCGTTAGCTCGTATTCGGGTGCACGAAAGACATTACTCGAATTCGGACATCCGAAGCAATATTTACACTGGAACACGGGCTGGAAGACGACGTTGAGTAACCAAATCTATGTGCCCCAGCAGTGGGGACAGTGTGAAGGAAAAACAATCATCAATCACACCCTTAAGAAGCTGTATGGAATAAACATAATAAGTTCTATCATGTTTCTGTGAAGATGTATAAAGGAAATCCGTTCACCTTACATCTGAACAACAAAGAATAATAAACCAAGTTTAGGACATCAGGTACGCGACCAAACTTATAATTAAGGTAATGTCAAGGACAAGAAGACAAATTAGATTTAAAGATCATATTTTATTTATATGATGATAAATCCATGTGGGTAATCGAAAGCATCATCATGCTCTGTTTTCCATTTTATTTGAGGTCTGCGTAATATGATGACTATTGGGTGGTAAGATATTTTTTTTTTTGGAAGGGTGGCAAATAAGCATATGGTAATAACCCTGATGGTAAGCGGCCACCGCAGCCTGTAGATGCTTGCGATACAAGAGTTATCACTCGCGCCGTTGCCTCATCATCATCATCATCATCATCAGCCAATTCATGTCCCCACTGCTGGGGCACAGGCCTTCCCTATGAATGGAATAGGAAGATAGGGCTATGATCCACCACGCGGGCCCAGTGCGGATTGGCGGGTGTTAACGACTGCAGATGCAGCCGGGACCAACGGCTTAACGTACCTTCCGAAGCACGGAGGAATATATATATAAAAGGATCCCACCAAAAACATTTTCATGTAAATTGTTGCCAAGACAAGACCATATGACTCGCAGTTATCAGATCTCATGTAGAGCCAAGGATCTAACTTTACACGCCCTAACTCTTTAAAAAAAATAGTATTATATGTATATGTAACTTTGCAAACTCTACACCTCAGTCATAATATTTTTAAACAGCTATTTTACAGCATTTCTAGCTGTTTATTCCGGTGTATTGATCAAAGTCACTTCGTTCTAGTTTTCAGCGCGAACTTTTTGCAGCAAGAACTGGAACTAGTGATTGAACAAAGAAAACTTTGAGATTTGGTTCATTTGCATTGCAGTCGGGCATAAGTTAATGGAGCTCATTATGAACGGCCGCAAACGAAGTTTTTTTTAATAAATTGTGGAATAAACATTACTACTTTTTAAAATACATATCAGGATAATAAGAATGTTTCCATGTTAGAAAAGTTACAGAGAAAAATATGGGTGTGTTTGGGCTACTAAGTGGCTTTTAACTAAGCATAATACCTATGCCACATAATAAGGAAAAAAATGCTTTTCCAAGTCTAAGTTTACCATTGGAAACGAACTTAAAAAACTTTATAGACAGATAAAATAAAATAAAGTAAGTATAGAGGTATTTATTATTGTATATATTTAGGTATTTATCGTATATATAAATATGTATGTATATATATGTAGTTATGTAAGTATATTTATAGATGTTATGTATTATAATTTTATATTAAGTATCATGTAGTTTAACAATTTTTTTTTTCCTTTCACCTTTTGCTTTTATTTACTTTACCGCATAATTGTCTCTGCTTAGCCCGATGGTTGACTGGTAGAGAATGCCATGTGGCATTAAGTCCGCCATTTGTTGTAAATAACAATAAAGAGTAAATAAATAAATAAATAAATAAAATATAATTAAAAATTGAGCTAGTTTAATTTCCTCGCACTCTTTAAAAGCAAACATTACACTGTTTTTTTTTTAAAGTCGAGTACGTACCAACTTGGATTTGTTAGAAAACTTTATTTTAAGGAAACTACCAACAGCTCTCCGCAACTTTTTACAAAGATCTCACTTGGGGCGAATTTCTAAACCGAATGCCGACAGGGATCTCTAAAAGGTACTGATCTTTCTAAGTACTGTTTCATGACACCTTTTGTTGCCTTCAATGAAACGTCTCCCAAGTTGGATATTTTGAATAAATACTAAAAATTTTACTAATTAGTAGATATAAATTTGTACCTCCCCGAGGTTACACAAAGCCAATTCCTCCAATCTCCAATTTCGGTGAGGTTTAACGAACCGTATAAAAAACGTATTCTATTAAAATGCAAATTAAAGCTACTAATTAGTTAATAGCAATCATGTAGTCACTTGTCATTCTAAGATTATTTTTACCAATATATCTTTTCATAATATAAGTAGCAATTAATGTTGCGGTTTCCTTGTTGCTAAGCTGTTTCCGTTATGACACGGATTTCGGATTTCTCTTTTTCTTTTCTTTCTTCATATCTATTATTATAAACAACTTAAAAGGCATAAATATAATAGCCATAATTAGGAAAAACCTTTATTTCAATGTCATCTTCTCTATAAATTACCATTAGTAACTTTTCACTCTAGTAAAACAAAATGTGTTAAGTTTACTCTACCTAATGTGAAGCAGGTTAATACTAGTTGAAAAATAAATGACTAGCCTGTAGAGTTAATGGATTCTAAAATGTTTCTGGGTATTACTTTAGACTCGCATCTGCAATGGGATCCTCTTAATGATGCCTTATCAAGTAGACTGAGCTCTGCGGCTTTCGCTGTTAAAAAAATAGGACTCCATCTGATGTGGAAACGGCAAGATTGGTTTACTTTGGTTACTTTCATAACGTTATGGCATATGGCCTTTTGTTGAGGGGCTCAGCTGGTAATATAGAAAGTATTTTCGTACTGCAAAAGAGAGCTGTTTGCGCCATATATAATTTAAAAGCAAGAGAGAAAAATTTAAAGAAATTAATATTTTAACACTGGCATCGCAATACATTTATGAAAATATAATATATGTAAGAAAAAACTATGATGCATTTGCAAAAAAAAAGTCAAACCCATAACTTTAACACGAGATTTAAGAACAAGCTTGCCGTTCCATGTTTCAGACTCCAAAAATCAAGAGGTTCATTTCTGGGATATGTAGTATTGCGTTGTTTAACAAAGTTCCCCAAGATCTGATTGAGCTTCCACTAATAAAATTTAAATCTCAGATCAAGAATACTCTTATGAATAAGGGCTATTATAAAGTTAATGATTATCTAAATGATCGTAATGCATGGACATAGTGTTTCTTCTAATTTGTTATTTGATGGGTATTAGTCAGTTTTTGTAACAGTAATATGGTACCTATCTAATGCCGAATCCTATATACTAATACTATACTTAATATAAAATTTATTGTCACTATATAGGGTGAAGTTGAATGTTTTAATGAAACTTCGTGAGATTGTTGGGTTACATGTATAGAGTATGCCTGATTTTTTTCGGAATTTTTGAAGTATATTTTTTTCATGTATTTATTTATAATTTGTGTATTTTTATGTTCTTTCCTCCTTTTGAGTAGTTATTCATTTTAAACAAACAAACTTACATATCCAGTGAAAAATAACTAATAAATAAGCACTTCTAAAAAATGGAAAAACATTAAAATTCCACCGCGGGTCAACGACCAACCGCGCTCGCCAGCCGTTGAGTGAGTAGGTACCTCTACACAGAGTTCAGCTGACTCCTTTGATTCCACACAATACAATAAAGTCGTCTTATGCCTTTATTGAAATAATAAGCACAAATGTCATCTTCTCTTAAGCAGAGAAAAACTTTAAAAGTTAATAATAATTTTGTCACGATTAGAAATAGGCAAATGTTAAACAAAAAGAAATACTTATTGCAGTTCAATACTTGGGTCAGAATAAAATTTATAACCAGGTATTCAAAAGTACTTACGAGACCGATGAACCTATTCATTTTTTTCACTTTAACTTCCCGTATACAGAAAATATAACTAGAAAAAAATCCACGCGGACCAGGCAGCAGACGGGACTCGAACCCGCACCCTTCGCAATCCGGGCGAATGCACTGACCAATTATGCTACCGCGGCCCTCACGGACCGCGTCGAAATTCTTTCTAGCTATTCTTAAGCTGCAAGGCAGCGCCATCTCTTCGCATTATAGGTAAACCCACAATGTCAAATGAATACTTTTACAAGTATTAAACATTTGAAAGAAGAAATAGCAATTATAGTTATAATTTTTATTATTTTTAAAGCATGTAACTGCTTGATGTTTAAATCTAAAGAAAATATAACTAGAAAAAAATCCACGCGGACCAGGCAGCAGACGGGACTCGAACCCGCACCCTTCGCAATCCGGGCGAATGCACTGACCAATTATGCTACCGCGGCCCTCACGGACCGCGTCGAAATTCTTTCTAGCTATTCTTAAGCTGCAAGGCAGCGCCATCTCTTCGCATTATAGGTAAACCCACAATGTCAAATGAATACTTTTACAAGTATTAAACATTTGAAAGAAGAAATAGCAATTATAGTTATAATTTTTATTATTTTTAAAGCATGTAACTGCTTGATGTTTAAATCTAAAGAAAATATAACTAGAAAAAAATCCACGCGGACCAGGCAGCAGACGGGACTCGAACCCGCACCCTTCGCAATCCGGGCGAATGCACTGACCAATTATGCTACCGCGGCCCTCACGGACCGCGTCGAAATTCTTTCTAGCTATTCTTAAGCTGCAAGGCAGCGCCATCTCTTCGCATTATAGGTAAACCCACAATGTCAAATGAATACTTTTACAAGTATTAAACATTTGAAAGAAGAAATAGCAATTATAGTTATAATTTTTATTATTTTTAAAGCATGTAACTGCTTGATGTTTAAATCTAAAGAAAATATAACTAGAAAAAAAAATCCACGCGGACCAGGCAGCAGACGGGACTCGAACCCGCACCCTTCGCAATCCGGGCGAATGCACTGACCAATTATGCTACCGCGGCCCTCACGGACCGCGTCGAAATTCTTTCTAGCTATTCTTAAGCTGCAAGGCAGCGCCATCTCTTCGCATTATAGGTAAACCCACAATGTCAAATGAATACTTTTACAAGTATTAAACATTTGAAAGAAGAAATAGCAATTATAGTTATAATTTTTATTATTTTTAAAGCATGTAACTGCTTGATGTTTAAATCTAAAGAAAATATAACTAGAAAAAAATCCACGCGGACCAGGCAGCAGACGGGACTCGAACCCGCACCCTTCGTAATCCGGGCGAATGCACTGACCAATTATGCTACCGCGGCCCTCACGGACCGCGTCGAAATTCTTTCTAGCTATTCTTAAGCTGCAAGGCAGCGCCATCTCTTCGCATTATAGGTAAACCCACAATGTCAAATGAATACTTTTACAAGTATTAAACATTTGAAAGAAGAAATAGCAATTATAGTTATAATTTTTATTATTTTTAAAGCATGTAACTGCTTGATGTTTAAATCTAAAGAAAATATAACTAGAAAAAAATCCACGCGGACCAGGCAGCAGACGGGACTCGAACCCGCACCCTTCGCAACCCGGGCGAATGCACTGACCAATTATGCTACCGCGGCCCTCACGGACCGCGTCGAAATTCTTTCTAGCTATTCTTAAGCTGCAAGGCAGCGCCATCTCTTCGCATTATAGGTAAACCCACAATGTCAAATGAATACTTTTACAAGTATTAAACATTTGAAAGAAGAAATAGCAATTATAGTTATAATTTTTATTATTTTTAAAGCATGTAACTGCTTGATGTTTAAATCTAAAGAAAATATAACTAGAAAAAAATCCACGCGGACCAGGCAGCAGACGGGACTTGAACCCGCACCCTTCGCAATCCGGGCGAATGCACTGACCAATTATGCTACCGCGGCCCTCACGGACCGCGTCGAAATTCTTTCTAGCTATTCTTAAGCTGCAAGGCAGCGCCATCTCTTCGCATTATAGGTAAACCCACAATGTCAAATGAATACTTTTACAAGTATTAAACATTTGAAAGAAGAAATAGCAATTATAGTTATAATTTTTAAAGCATGTAACTGCTTGATGTTTAAATCTAAAGAAAATATAACTAGAAAAAATTCCACGCGGACCAGGCAGCAGACGGGACTCGAACCCGCACCCTTCGCAATCCGGGCGAATGCACTGACCAATTATGCTACCGCGGCCCTCACGGACCGCGTCGAAATTCTTTCTAGCTATTCTTAAGCTGCAAGGCAGCGCCATCTCAGCATCATCAGCATAATTGGTCAGTGCATTCGCCCGGATTGCGAAGGGTGCGGGTTCGAGTCCCGTCTGCTGCCTGGTCCGCGTGGAATTTTTTCTAGTTATATTTTCTTTAGATTTAAACATCAAGCAGTTACATGCTTTAAAAAATAATAAAAATTATAACTATAATTGCTATTTCTTCTTTCAAATGTTTAATACTTGTAAAAGTATTCATTTGACATTGTGGGTTTACCTATAATGCGAAGAGATGGCGCTGCCTTGCAGCTTAAGAATAGCTAGAAAGAATTTCGACGCGGTCCGTGAGGGCCGCGGTAGCATAATTGGTCAGTGCATTCGCCCGGATTGCGAAGGGTGCGGGTTCGAGTCCCGTCTGCTGCCTGGTCCGCGTGGATTTTTTTCTAGTTATATTTTCTTTAGATTTAAACATCAAGCAGTTACATGCTTTAAAAATAATAAAAATTATTCCCGTATACACTTTGTAAACACAATCAATCACTAAACCTACTTTCGTAAAGCCTTGTGGCTCTGCTGAGTATTCTGTGGCACTACAATAACAACACACCATATCCAACTTCTTATATTGAGGCCACAGAACAAGAACTAATCAAGGCATTATTTGCAAATCTTCTCTTGTCACAAATTTAAAAAATACGCACGCGCGGTTTATAAACTTGACACTGCGCTCGCTCACTGCGCTTTGCATGTATTCAACGCATAGGTAGGTATTCAACCGATTCAACGGGAGGGAGCGGTCATTGCTCCCGGCCGCTCGTCTTCTGTTTTTACGTTTTTTTTAGTAGTGCTTATTAGTTGTTTTTTACTTACTCTCTATGCGTGTTTAAAAAGAATAATTATTTAGTACCCAAAAGGAGGAAAGGACTTAAAATATAACAAAAAAAAACGAAATTTTATTTTAAATCATTTTTAAAAAATCCGAAAAAATTCAGAGATAATCTATATACGTAACCCAACAATCCCACAAAGTTTCATTAAAACATTCAATTTCACCCTGTATATCTCATTTCATTTCACTGCCGAATTCGCCATTGTGGTTATTAAGTAAAAAGTGAGTGAGTTTGTTCTCACAAAATAGCATTTCTTGGAATCGAGTGCGTTATATTAACACCGTGTAGTAAACCGTGTTAATATGAAGTTGTTTTTCAGGGAATTGAAACTTCATTGGTGGGCGCGACTCACGCACAAGCGGTGTCTGCATTGCGGAACACAGGGGAACAAGTTACCCTGGTTGTTCTACCTGCTGGATCTATACCTCCCGTGGCGCGAACGGCCCCCCTGTATGCTAGTGAGTTTCATAACTTTCTTACTACAACTTTTTTGATACATTTTCGGAAAATATTATCACAATTAGTTTGTTCAGATCTAATAGAGTAAGATCCCAAGACTGCCAGACCTTACTTGTTTTCTCGTGAACAAAATATGGATAATTGAGTAGTTTTAGTGTGTACCAAAAAGGTATACGTACTCGCTAACTTGTGCTGTGGGCCAATTTTCAGGTATCGGCACAATTAGGTAGTACTAGCGATGGGCGTTGAATTAACAAACGGTTTAAATAGACGGTCTACGTTCAATCGACGCTTCGACGGTCTACAGTTTATTCGTTAACTAGTTGAATTCATAGACGGCTAAACTGAGAGTCCACAGCGTTCATATCTACTGACAACGCGACGTCGACGCGTAAACGTATCCGGTTTACCGGTTACAAGTCCAAACGTTCTTTCATTCGTTGAAATAAAGCAATTTGAAACTTAGGCATATGGCATGGGAGTTGATATTTGTTCGTTTTTTAAACTAGAGTTGTTAAAGTGAAAAGGCAAGAGTATTCTGATATTGCGTGAAAGAGTACGTCGATGGATCTGGCTAAGCGATGCAGTGCAGAATGAACGGGTTTATAATAATTGTTTACCTCTAATAGTTGCAGTTTTGTTTATTGAAATTTGAAATTAGTGTGTCGCGAGGTCAAGGTCAAGGGACACGTGAATGCGAATTTAGTGCAAAGTTCGTTTGAATTGAATGATTATTTTATGAGTTTAATTTGTAATTTATTTTGTAAACATTTAAATGACTATAATGTAAAATGAATACTAAATAAAGACCCCGTCGGTCGTCGTTGTTGCGTCGCGCCCGTAGACCAGTCACCGCGTAGTCGATATGAACCCCTCAACGCTTGCCGTTATCACGTCAACTAGTTGATCGACTAGTCGATGGACGGTAGTGGACGGTAAGGTTCGTCGACGAAAAATACGTCGACCTCTAGGTGGTACAGGCACGTAATAATGTTAATAATTTTACTTACAGTCTGGGGCCTGATTCTTACGTATGTTGTAGATAATATTGTAAACAATTTGAAATTCATACTGCCAGATACTTTTAATGTCGAAAGCTAGAAAACACAAATTTGCTTATTTTCTGCAATAATTTTGGTAATACACATTTAAACTACTCGTTTATCTATAAAAAAAAAATCCAACATCACACCAATTAGCCTAGCCCCAAAGTAAGCACTGTAAGGCATTGTCCTAATACAACGCGATAACGCGAATGAGCGATGCGATCATCGTACGAGTCGACGATCAAACATATTGATCTAGAATAGGTGTCCTAATAGGCGATCGCGCGATGCATTCGCGCGACTAAAATGTTTAAAAATCTATTCGCGTGATCTTAGTTCGCGCGAACGCGCAATCAAACCTATTAACGATGAATAGGTGTCCTAACTGAACATCGCGCGATGACTGCGTCGCGTCGATAGGAAGCGGGGAGAGGGGCAGGGCTAACCCGTTCCGTATTCGCGTTCTATTAGGACACCCAGTTCGCGATCACGCGATGGTCGCATCGTTTAAACGCGCGATGATCGCGTTATCGCGTTGTATTAGGACAATGCCTTAGGCTTGTGTTATGGGATACTAGGGTTACGGATAGAATACATATACAATACATATAGAAGTATATTTATATAGAAATAATAATTAAATATCCATGACTGGAGTACAAATGCTCGTATTCATCACAGGAACATCTGCCCCAACCGGGAATCGAACCCGGGACCACTCGAGTCGGTGTCACCATGAAACCTGGCGTACAAACCACTCGGCCACGGAGGTCGTCAATCAATCTATATTTTGTCCATAAGAAAATAAGTAAGGTCTGACAGTCTTGGGATCTTATACTATTAAGCCGCATTATTTCATCGATTTTAAAATTTGATATTAGGTAAATCATAAAGGAAAAAGTAACCATTTTTCAAAATTTTACTCATATTATGTATTTGACGTGGCACTCCTGAAAAAAAATTCAAGAAAGCATTCTCAACTGGGTAAATATTCAATATCCTAATAAAAAGCTAGCTTATTCAAGTTTTGATTTCGGAAATTTATTCTTGCTTTAACTAAAATTACTGTGTAAATAACAACAATGTATAACGATAACTATGCAAATTTATTAAATGTATTAATTACGACATTCTCTCTCTAAGTTTGAGAGAATTTAACACTCAATTTTCGCATTATAATATTAGTTAGACCTTAAACTTGCTTTGAAAAATATAAACGTGATTTTAAGGAAATTAAAAATGAAAGCGAAACATAAACGTTCATAAATATTTAGTTTTAGAAATCGAGAGTAGAAAACAACATCTGCGTTTACCGCAGTGCGGTGTTTTATTGGATGGGTATATTAGGTGGGTATTACGACCTCTTTACGTGTTAGCGTTCCTTTCATTCATCTGTCATACCCACCGCAAGAATAATCTATAAACGTATTTGGGTGGATTTCATCTACCTACATTACACGGCCCGCTAAACACCGTCTTCATAAAAATTATGAAATGACAATCAAAATTCGTGGAAGGTTTTTTTTTAATAAAATATATGTGTGTACGCTCTATCTATCATGTTTTTTTTTAATTTACTTGTATTTTCTTGTATGGTGTATTACAATAAAGAATATTATTATTATTATTATGTTTTTTTTTCATGAAATTACACTTTTACAAAACCGTAAATGAAAATTATATAAAGTTTTCATTCTTCTTGTACAATAGATAATTTATTTCACACTTTGTACCTGCATGTTTACTACTTAATTTTAGTCATTACGATTATCAAAAAAAAATGTCATCAATGAAAATGGCTGTTTATTTCGATATTCGTTCAATAAATATAGTCAAACTCTAAGCGTAGCCGCTGTATGTGCCTGGAAAAATTTAACGGGAAATTTTATTATTCTACGCGGCAACGGCGTTTGTCTTATATTTATTTAATAAACCGTATTGCAGCACGGACGCAAGCCACATCGTGCTCTACACTGCACGAGCTTTTAGAGGAGGAACCGAATGAAATACCAAGGTAACTTAACAATTACTACCCATGGTAAGTTTCATTACTTATTTAAAGGACAATGGGCAAAACGCACCCAGCTCCGCCAACAATGTAATTAGTATGAATCGATAGATCTATGAAAAACTAGCCTTTTTTATTATGACACCGAAAATAAATATCCTGGGAGTCAAAAGATATGACACCGTAAAAAATATCCTGGTAGTCAATAGATATGACACAGGGATGCCCCCCTTAAGTAGCTGAATAAATTCATTTTATAATACCTTCATTTAATATTATTAGTAATCATAATAATATGCCATATCGTACTATACAACCAGATATACGACAAATCCTGCCGACCATCCTGCGCTTGCTCTTACTGAGACATTTCAAAGCGGTTTACGGATGCTGAAGGACTTGCAGTTGCAAATAGTCGACTCGTCTTACTTCGCTGTGATTGTGCGCTCCCTGCTACTTGATTGATTTTTAACTAACACGCTTTGGATATTAGAACACGATTATCGGTTTTGTCAATTAGTATGGATGAACTGGAATCATGTGTTCTCCGAAGCGTGGACAAGTTTGTGTAATCTGTGGACGCTCCGTTTTACATAGAAGACAATTTACTATAACGAACAGAATGTTTAAAAAAATCCCAACCCATGCGGGGATTTTTGGATTTACTCTAGCGCGGTAGAATAACATAAGGGGGCACGCTTGCACCTTGTAAAGTACTCCCATAATTCCTGAGCACACTATGTAGGGTCGAACTAACTAACGAAATTAATTCCTTTGTTTCATTAATGTTCGTTCGTTATAGTACTTGTACATATTTAACTTAAAATAACTAAAGACCCCCGGGATGGAATTTGATGCGCATTGGCACAGATGATCTTGACTATAATACCTTTCAAACGAATGTACTTTAAGCCGTGGCGGACGTGGGTGCAGCGTCCATACAATTTTGCCCAATGTCCTTTAGCACATAACCTACGTATTTGTGATAACTGAAGATAATGTAAGAAGTTTGATAAATAAATATATAAATATTTCCAACAATCACACCGGTTAGCCTAACCTCAAAGTAAGCACTGTAAGGATTGTGTTATGGGATACTAGGGGAATGGATAGAATACATATACTGTACACATATAAGTATATTTATAGAGAAATACATATGAAATATCCATGACTGGAGTACAAATGCTCGCATTCATCATATATACATCTGCCCCCACCGGGATTCGAACTCGGGACCTCTCGAGTCGGCAACACCATGAAACCCCGCGTACAAACCACTCAGTCACGGAGGTCGTTGGTAGAAGTCCAACAATGTTTATTTTATTCTTTTTAACATTTTCTTTTTTATTTATAAATTTCGTCAAATTATATGTTAAATGTAGTATACACAGTCAGGTCATAAGTACACAGTAAAAACTTTTCTTTTAAAATGCTGGCCACAAAAAAGTTTATTGAATTCGAATTTCGAATTGTTCATGAAAATAAAAATGTATACTTTTTAGAATTTTACTCATTTTTAAATATGGAATGAACGCTTAAAGAAGACCGTGTTGCAGTTATTGCGTTGCATCGTTGCGGTTACGCGCCAATTAAAATTTTTGACATACTGAAAATTTTGAATATAACCAAAGAATTATCATTTATCGTACCATCAAACGATACAATGAAGACTCTAGTGTAGATGACAGGTCCAGAAGTGGTCGCCCTCGGTCTGTTAGGACTCCAGCAGTGATAAAAGCTGTGAAGGCGCGAATTCAAATCCCAAACGTAAGCAGAAACTGTTGGCCCTTCATATGGGGTTAAGCAGAACCACGCTGAAAAGAGTGTTAAATGAAGACAGGGCTTCGGGCATATAAAAGAAAAACTGGACATCGTTTGAATGCTCGTCTAATGGACCTGAGACTGAAGAGATGCCGCGCTTTGTTGAAGCGGTACGCGGGAAAAAAATATATCGGGAAATTCTTTTTTCGGATTTTTTTTTTACCGTAGTAGAGAGCTACAACAAACAAAATGATAAGTTGTACGCACACAGTAGTGAAGAAGCGAGCAACCGTATTCCGCGTGTCCAACGAGGTTATTTTCCATCCTCGCTCATGGTATGGTTGGGAGTTTCTTATTGGGGCTTAACAGAGGTACAATTTTGTGAGAAAGGTGTAAAATCGAATGCAGTTGTGTATCAAAATACAGTCCTGACGAACCTTATGGAACCTGTTTCTCATACCATGTGCAATAACAGGCACTGGGTATTCCAACATGATTCGGCGCCAGCTCATAGAGCGAAGAGCACACAAGACTGCATCCGGCACGATGACTGGCCCTCCTCCAGTCCAGATTTGAGTCCGTTAGATTACAAGATATATTATGGCAACACTTGGAGAAAAAGGCGTGCTTAAAGCCTCATCCCAATTTGGAGTCACTCAAGACATCCTTGATTAAGGCAGCCGCCGATATTGACATGGACCTCGTTCGTGCTGCGATAGACGACTGGCCGCGCAGATTGAAGGCCTGTATTCAAAATCACGGAGGTCATTTTGAATAAACTTTATTGTCAAAGAATCTATGTTTTGTTAAGTTCATTTTGGTATATAAATGGTTACATAATGAATAAACTTGTTTCAATTATTTTATATTAAACATGTGACAGAATTATGACCTGACAAGGTAGTATAAATTATAGGTTGGGGGAAAAAATCTTCATATTTTATATGAAAATTTAAAACATTTTTAATAAAGTTTAATTTCATTTAAGTAATGTATGTAGGTGCCATTTTGTTCGATAACTTTTTGCCATCTTTTAGGTAGGGATATGATACCATTGCTATAGAAAGGAGATTGCTCAAATTGGCCCAAATGCACAAAAAATATTGATATAATACGGTAATTCCTGGCGTAATTGTTACTTTATTTTACAGTCATTAGATTTTAACGGACACATTTGTATAATATATTCATTTTAAAAAGGACTTTTAATTTTACCGGTTTGAAAAACTTACGAATAATTTTTAATGGCTATGGGTGTAGTAACATTCAGCCAAAGATTGATCGAAGTTGTTTATATAACATAAAATCGAATCTATTTTGTAAAGGTCAATAAAACAGTTTTTTATTACACTGTGGTATTAATATCCACAACTATATTATCATTTTCTCTACATGCAAATGTGCTAAGACAATTATTATAGATGGTAGGTGACATCATGAAGTCTATTGCCATACATTTTTCGCCAAACACCTCCATAAACATAGTATAAAGTGTGATACACTAAAAATCTAAAATACGGTTATAATGTCAACATTTTTTTTTTTTTTTTTTTTTATATTACTAGGTAGGCAAATGACTCTACCGCACCTGATGTTAAGTGGTGATAAAGTCCAAACGCGAAGATAGCTGGTACAGCAGTTATTAACTGCTACACCAACCATCCTCACCTTGCCGGCCCGCAAAAATGCTTCTTCACGCCTCTCTTAAAGGACCCCAGATTATAGGAAGGAGGGAACACGTGCGCGGGTAAAGAATTCCACTTACGAATAGTACGACAAAGAAATGAGTCGCCAAATTTCTTTGTTCGTGTAGGAATAGTGGCCACAGTAAGTCGATGGCAACGTAGGCCAGCGCGCGTGGTCCTCTGAAGAAAAGGTGATGGAGGGATAAGCAAGAATAGCTCCTCAGAACACTCGCCGTGGTATATTCGGTAGAATGCGCTTAATGATGCCATATCACGGCGTAATTGTAGAGACTCGAGTTTCTTAGTTGCCTCTTCATCGCCAATGATGCGGGCAGCGCGCCGCTGCAACCTATCCAAGGCATCGAGTAAGTACTTTGCGGAGCCATCCCAGAGGTGCGAGCAATATTCCACGCAGGACCGCACTTGTGTTTTGTACAACAAGCACAGTTGATCGGGCGTGAAAAAACGCCGCACCTTGTTCAGGACTCCGAGTTTGCGTGAAGCTGTTTTGATCAACGTTTCGATGTAGTCCTTTGGATTCAGGTCTGAGCGAACTTCCATACCGAGCATGGTAATATTGCTCTGTAGCGCCAGTGTTGTGCCCTGAAGAGAGGGAAGGGGAAGGAATGGCGATGTTTTTGCCGTGAAAGCGCAAGCCTGAGTTTTCTTGGCATTGAACTCAACCAAGTTCCTAGTACCCCATTCGGAAATGTGGTCTAAAGCCCGATTGAGCTCAACGACAAGATTCTCCCGTTTCTCCATGGTTTCTACCTGTCCAGCCGCCGCGTGTCCAAAGTATCTCGCATGCACTGTGCTATCGTCTGCATAGCAATGAATATTCGCAAGTGGAATCAAATCATTGATATGCAGCAGAAAGAGTGTGGGGGATAGAACGGAACCCTGAGGAACACCGGCATTCACTGACATGAACTGCGAACTACATCCGTCCGTAAGGACGCGAATTCTACGCTCATGCAGGAAGTCAGCTACCCAGGCGCAGAGCTGAGCAGGCAGACCGTATGCAGGAAGCTTGGAGAGAAGGCTCTTGTGCCAGACCCTGTCAAAAGCCTTGGCGATGTCAAGGCTAATAGCCAGAGACTCTCCCCGCTTGTCTATAGCTTCACCCCAGATGTGTGTCACGTACGCTAGAAGGTCACCCGTCGATCGATTCGGCCTAAATCCGTATTGACGATCGTGAATTAGAGAGTAATCTTCTAGGTAGCGGGTCAGATGGTTGTTAAGGACCCTTTCTAAGACTTTACACAACACTGAGGTGACAGCTATCGGCCGATAGTTGGCCGGGTCTGAGCGGTCCCCTTTTTTGGGCACCGGTTGCACATTGGCGTCTCTCCAAGCTTCCGGCACACGCCCCAAAGAGTAAGAGAGTTGGTACAGTCGCGTAAGCACGGGAGACAACTCCGCTGCACAATGTTTTAGAACAACTGCTGGGATGCCATCGGGTCCACTAGCTTTCCGGACGTCGAGTGATTGCAATTCCGCACGAACATCACGCTGCCTGATTTTAATGTCAGGCATCGTAGTGCCACAATGAGGTAGTGTAGGTGGCAGTGCATTGCAATCACTGATTCGGGAGTTAGCCGCAAAGAGCTTTGCCAACAAATCGGCTTTCTCTTGCGGCTCATGAGCTAGTGACCCATCTGGACATCGCAGAGGTGGCAGCGAGGGCTGGCAAAAGTTGTGTTGCACGGCCTTAGCCAAACGCCAAAAACTACGGGAGCCCGTAGGGTGCGTTAACAATTCGTGGCCAGTACGTGCTACACGTTGGGCATCCGCTCTGATGTAAGCCTTCTTACAAGACTTGGAAGCACTATTATAGGCAGCTTTCAATGAGTTAACCCCGGGATCCTTAAGAGCGCGGCCTCTGATCCAAGCGCGATATGCCGCCTGCTTACGAGAAACAGCATCGGCACAATCGCGATTGAACCAGCGGTTACGTGTGCCCTTACTGATGAGATCAGAATGTGGAATGTAATACTCCATTCCCATTACGATCTCCTCAGTAATGGCAACGGCACTGGATGATAGGTCCTTTTCATTGAAGCAGCGCTGCTTCCAAGGGACAGACGCAAAGTAATCGCGCATACCATCCTAATCTGCCGACCCATAGTGCCAGACCCTGCGTTTGACTACCAATGGTCGAGGGGTTTTGGCCTGTGGCACCTTGACAGATATCAGGCAATGGTCTGATGAACCCAGTGGGGCTCGAACCACAATCTGATACTCCTGCGGATGGGTCGTAAGCAGAAGGTCTAGTAAAGAAGGCGCTTGACTTGCTATATCTGGGATCCTGGTGGGCTGATCAACCAGTTGTGTCAGGTCGTGCGTGAGAGCGAATGCATGGGCAGAGATCCCTGCATGGTCAGTTTTGGAAGAGCCAAGCCACAAACCGTGGTGGGCGTTAAAGTCTCCCAAAAACACCAGTTCAGCGTTGGGAAATTGCGCCTGGGCATCATCTGCTACCCTACTGAGGTGGTCAAACAGTCGAGTTGTCTCAGCGTCGCCGGTGTGAGATCTGTAGAGGCACACGTAGACTCTGGCCAAAGGACCAGAGTCTACATGTACCGCCATCATGGAAAAGGAGGGGTCTTCCAGGCAGCTCAAACGGCGACAACAAACATCCGCCCGAACATACAGGCATGCGCCGGCTTTTGCTTTGAAGGATTCTTCAAGCGCGTAGCCGGGATATTTAAGGTAGCCTGTGTCAGCGGGCGGAAGTATTTGTGTCTCCGTGAGAAACAATAGTGCTGGCCGTGCTGTCTCAAGATGGTGGTGGACAGCATTGAGGTTAGAGTGGAGTCCGCGTATATTACAGAACTCAACCTCAAACAGCGCGGAAGGCGTGGGGGTGTGCACCGCTGTACAACCAAACTTTATTTTACGGGCTGCCATCATGAGAAAAAAGTTGAGAGACGTGAATCGAGTGGAGTTAGTCGCGACAAAGACAGGCAAATATATGGAGGCACGTTTTCCCGAGTAACTGCCTGCGAAAGAGATACGCCGACCCAACGGACGGAAGGGCCCCCGCACCCTCCCGGGAGTGGCCGCCGGGACCCCACGCCCCGGTCACCAACCGGCACGATGGTCCACCCCGAGATTATGCGTGACATGATAGGGCAGCCTCACGAACTGGTTAGGAACGCTCGGGCCCCTGTACTGTGCCACGGGCGGCCAGCGGGACAGCCGTTTCTACGGGTCTCCCTGGCCGGTGGGTCGATGCAGTCCTCCCGGCATCGGTTCGACGGATGCCTCCACTGGACCGAATCTGTCGCGGCAATCTCCACTCGAGCTCTGGTTGTACGCTGGCTGATCCCGAAACGCGCGTGAAGCACTTCACGGGTTTTTCACCATGCGTACGGTGGTAACAAACCAGGCGGGTGTTAGGCACCCTACCACCAGGAGAGCAGATGGAAGCTCTGATATCCCTCAGTCGCTTCTTACGACACCCGCGGGAAGTGAAGGGGCGGTGAGTGGTATTCTTTTTCCGTCACCGCACGGATAGACATAACAAAAATAATGAAGCTACTGAAGATATGGCTGTATAACCTAAATCTCTTAGCTTTCTTTGGTTAACGAGAGTTTAAAATTTCTCTCTAATCTTTGGCTCATTCACAATCATCGCACAGTTTTGGTCACAGAGTACCTTCCTTATTATATCCGGAAATGCATAGATAACCAATACCTGATTTTAAAAGTTACTCTTGTGAATTAACTTTAAAAACAGGCAACTATTTTTTAATCTACATGCTCTATATACCTGAATCTAATTCATAATTTTGGTACTTGGCTTGATTTCCCTAGTTTACTATATAACTTATTTGTTTTTTTTATTTTAATACCTATGTACCTATTTGCAAACGTAACCTCAAAATCGTCTAGTGTATATAGTTTATAGAAGTTCTCAGGGGTGTCCAGCAATAATATTCGTTTCTACAGTAATTTATATATAATTACGAATCTAGGAAACAATTTTTCATGATTATTCGTGTTTAGGCCAAACATGTATGGAAGCTGAGCAATCTCCTTTTGGGGCTTCTGGTCAGAAAACCGCGACAAGTGGTTTTGGCAGTCCTCTGGTGATGTTAATCTGACACTGACTAAAGAATTCTAAATAGCCCGTAACTAGGGGAAATCTAAAGGTGCAAAGTCAGGACTATACGGCGCATGCATTAATACCTCCCAGTCAAACTCTTAACTTTTGCTGGGTGGCTAAAGATGTGTGAGGTCTAGCGATATTATGATGAAAAACCAAACCCCTTCTGTTGATTAATTTCTCTCTTCAATTCTTGCTTTAATCTCATCAGTTGTTCGCAGTAAAGTTCAGAATCGATGGTCCTATCTGGTAACGGTAGCGGTAACAGCTCATAATGAATAATGATCTTCCCATCCCACCATACACACAGCATCACCTTGTTGCGAGTTAACCTGGGTTTCGCCAGTCTGTGAACCTTGACCGGCTTTTGACCACGATATTTTTCGCACGTTCTTGTCGTACGTGATACACTTTTCATCACCAGTTATTAGCTTCTTCAAAAATGGTTCGGTTTCATTACGTCGTAATATAGAATCACAAATGAGTACATGTTTCATTACATTTCTTTCAGTGAGCTCGTGAGGCACCCAAATATCGAGTGTTTTGTGTACCCAGCTTTTTTCAAATGCGCTGCAAATGTTTTTTCAGTCAATTCCAGGTCAAATTCCAGTTCTTTAGCTACGTCGTAACTACTAATATGTCGATCTTGCTCCACTTTTACAAAAATGGCATCCATTTTATCCGTAACGGAGCGACCAGAGCGACGTGCATCTTTAATCAAAATGTCCGGATTGAAAACGCTTAAATCAAATTTGTGCTATTCTCATAGACACTGCACCAGGCTCAAAAAAATCACATTTTTTCGCGGCTTGCGTTGCATTTTTTCCTTTTTTGTAGTAAAATTTTTAAAATGTTTCGATTTTCTTCATAAGATTCCCTGATATTGACAGTAAGAAAAACCATTGAAAATTACACCTTTTTTAATTTGAATTTGGAATGATCTTCACCAGAATTTAAACTTTTTAATTATATCAAAACCAGCCAGATATAAATAAATTCATACTATAATGCGAATTTTTTTTTTTCCCAGCCTATTATATGAGGGCCAGTTAAAAGAAATATTAGCCTCTACCTAATGGCCCTAGTCAGTAAAGCTCTGTTCTGAAGGAATACTATAATCAATCTCGTATTTTCTAGGATTGGCAGGCACATCATTTATTGAATACGTTTTTAAGATGCGTGACGTGCGATTTAAATAAGTCGTTAAAAATAAAATAACGCACGACTTCTAAAAAATGGATTGTGGTTCTATATCAATCGAATATCAACTAAGTTGGATACGGTCAGATACTTTAGTATCGAAAAAAATGATATATTTATAGCAATATTATGTAAGTAATTGTAACTTTCAATTCTATTTAACCCATGGAAGTTTCATTTTGTTGAGTTGTGTGAGAAAAAGACATTTTAAAATGTGCTTGAGATTCTGGACCTCATTTTATAAAACCGGTTAAAAATACATTATACTGCACTCTACTGGTATAATAGAATGAAAATAAGTAAGCAGAAATTCTGAATTTCTCGAAGTCTGCTGAAAAATGTACATTTTATTATGTAACATTATGAGATGATAAGAAAAAGGCTTTTATTACCTGAGCAAATAACCTTTCCCTTGATATTTTCACGTCTAACTAACAGTCTTTTTTCGAGTGTTTTAGTCTCGTTTTACCAAAAAAAGGGCTTTTCTGCGAATTGGGTTCACAGTGATGGTTATTGATTCAATTCTAAGTAAAAGCTATTAAAGTTCCTTGCCTATCACTTAGGTTAGGGTTCTTGTAAGACTAGGTAATTTGTTTTTCCTAAGTAAATACTTATATGGTAACCTTAACCGTTAAAAGGCTTATGCCAAGGAATTTGTGATTACTGATCTGATAGATATGGGTCATTCTTTATTAATGCTTGCTGCGATTTGGCAGTCAGCAGTAATAGTACAGTACTAATCACCTGGCATTTATGGATAGTCAGACTCGCAGCTTGCTGCAATTTCGGTCGGCACTACAATAAACGGGTTCGCATACTGTAATAGCTTCGTCAAGAAAACGTCATTATTAAGACTTACGACTATTTTGGGTTTATAGCTATAACAAAAACGTAACGCAAGCGCAATACAGTAAAATTGATTACACTTACATATTAAATGGAGTCTAAATAATTTCACGGCAGTAAAAGTTTTAGAACCATCTTTATTTCCAGTGTTTATGTATTTACGTTGAGTAAATAAACTATGATTTATATCATAGATTTATTTCATACTTACCTAACAAATTTTCAATAATTATTTTATAGCATGAATATCATAAAATGATTTTACAACCACATTTTAAATTTTTTTTACAATCTACTCTTTGAATTTGAGTTTTTACAATATACTATGTGACTCCGGGTTTAATCAGTTTATTCATTCACAGGTGCGTTCGAATGGTAAGGCTTGTGCGTTCAGGCTCCAGATTAGGTATGGATATAGTCGGGGGTTTGGGGGGAGAGGTAGAAGGAGCGCAGGGGACGGACGAAGAAGCGTGCGGTGTATTCGTGTCTGGGGTGACAGCGGGCGGAGCGGCGTTTGGGATGTTGCATCGAGGCGACAGGATACTGAGCGTCGACGGACGCGACTTGACAAGGGCGACGCATGAACAGGCTGCAGCGGCTCTGAAGGTATTACCGGTGACCCTACTGGAGCACAGTTCAGGATTTCGCTAAGGAATTGATATAGGAGGCGGTAAGGCGAGGTGGAGTGCTATGAACAGTATTTGTGTCTAGCGTGACAGCGGGCGGAGTGGCATAAGGGATGTTGCATAAGGCGACAGGATACTGAGCGTCGATGGACGCGAATTGAAAAGGGCGACGCATGAACAGGCTGCGGTGGCTCTGAAAGTAATAACGGCAATCCCTTAGAAACACAGTTGAGAAGCTGGCGAACAAAACGATATAATTACATAAAATTATTTTTTACAGGACCTGTATAAAACTGAATGTCATACCTACAGTGAGGTTTTGGCATGGTTATTAATCAAAAAAATTTGTGATTTTAATACAGTTTTAGGTAGTGTTGATTGAAAATTATTTGAGATTCAAATTCAACGGTCCCGAAACCTCCGGACCGTAAGAAAAAGGTAGTTTGACTAGATGCGTTATTATACCGTTTCGTTCGCCAGCTCCTCGTGTCACAAATAAAATTAGGATTTGATCTAGGGTGTGGAGAGTTGGCGCAGTGAGATGGAGTTCTGTGGAGTGTATTAGAGTCTGACGTGACAGAACTTGGGGGTGGAGAGATACGAAGTGACATGATGTGCTATGGTGTTGTGTTCGGACTGACAGCAAGCGTCATCGGAGTAGCGTAAGATATGTTGCAGAGAGGACACGGGACATCAACAGAACGATAGATGAACAAGACGTGGTGGGTACGAAAGTATTCATTGGAAACACTGCCTTATTACTGTCAAGTGTGTAGCGTTTAGGGTTTTAATTTAAGTACGAAAACAGTTGACTTGACAAGGGCGATGTTTGCAAAGTATTTACGGTGACCCTACAGGAACACAAGTTAGGATTTCAATTAGATGTTGCATTAAATAATATAGTTTTAATTAATCAGTCAAGATATGAAATGCGGGTCAAACAGACTAAAGATCATTGCAGCGTGGTGGATGCTTATTACAATGATCTGTGATAATATTGTTTTTCCTCATTCATTATGAAGGTAGTAATGGAGTCCTCGGCCTGCCCAATTCTTTTGTGTAGCAAAGAGGATAGATGTTGACCTATTTGGATGCGTCAAATTAACAAACAAAAGCAGGCACATGACCCTCTCCAAAATCACCATTACTATGCTATTCATTAGCCAAAGAATAATGGCTTATTGTTTTCTCTTACTTTTGTCTTATATCTGATGAGAAAACTTGCCCTAAATCATGTTAATACTCAGTACAGCGATTAAAGCTAATGTTCCACTCTAACATCAAAGGATTATTAGCCAAGGTAAACATAAAAATTAAGTACTGCTGCGATTCAGGCCCTGGACGCAACCTTGGTAGCAGAAGCTACGGTTGGGCTGTGGCTAAGTATCAAAACTCATTGCGGAAAAAACGTCTTCGTATTGAGTTCTGGAATGATACAAAACGGGTTCACTCACGAACTGTCCATATGATACTAGGAATTGGTCGTAGCCTGGCCACATTGGCGGCCGCAGATCTTGGGCACGAGTGCTCATAGAAAACTATACTTAAGTTGGTCGTAACGACCAGACTTGCAGGCCCGGTATGCGGATTGTTGGCCGTTGCGGCCAAGTGCGCGACGTTCGTATGGTTTCTTTAATTAATCTGGTTGTTAAGGCCACTGACCGTGGTCGTGACCGTCTAGTGCGCGGGGTGCCTTAGCGCTAACAACTACGATTTAATCTATATGAAAATTACAGTCTTTTACTGTGACGGTGCGTACCAATCCGGTGTATTATGCCCAAACCTGGTGCAGTTATATTAAACATTTTTTACAAACTTATATTTATCTTTGCCTGAATAAGTGTCTGTCGGTCTGTCTGCTGTCAGTAATAATATAAATCTTGCAAGAGAAATTTGACCCCATTTCCGACTAAGCGGATTTTTAGTAACGAAATTCAAGTGCTTTATTTGTATTTAAAAATTGGTTTGATTAAGAAAAATGCTGGATTAATCGTATTTTATTTTTTCTTAGCAGCAATACTCGGGGAGTGCTGTAACAATAGCAGCGCAATACCAACCGGAACAATACGAGAGGTTGCGCGCCCGCATTCGAGCGATAAACGCGGCGGCCGCCATGTCGCCGCATCTGAGGCACCCAACGCACGTACCCACGCATACGGACATTCACGCTATGTACCCAAGGTAAATGTTTTATAAGAATGCAAAAAAGAAATTTCACACGCATTCGAGCGATCAACGTAGCGGCCGTGGATTCACCGCATCTGAGGCACGCGACGCACGTGCACACATACATGGACATGCACGCTATGTACCCAAGGTAAATGTTATATGAGAATTTAGATCAGAATGTTCGTACGCATTCGAGTAATCAACACGGAGACCGTCATGTCGCCACATCTGAGGCACGCGACACACGTGTCCACACACACGGACAAACGCGCTATGTGCTCAAGGTAAATGGTACACGAGAATTAATATCAGAATGTTCCCACGCATTCGAGCGATCAACGGGGCGGCCGCCATGTCACCGCATCTGTGGCACGTAACGCATGTGCCCACACACACGGACATGCACGCTATGTAACCAAGTTAAATGATAAATGAGAATAAAGAAATTATGTTTACAGAACTTTAAGATAATGTCATTACACAAAAGATGGGAAACAATCGAAGTCCGGAAAACAAGTTCCGTACCTTAGTTACAATACTCATTTTAAACTAGGTTGCGGAAAACAAGTTCCGTACCTTAGTTACAATACTCATTTTAAACTAGGTTGTGCAAAACAATCTGAAAAAACAATGTTTTAATGACCCCTTAATGTTTATTTTATGCTTGTTATTTCTCATGAAAGCGCCAACGGTATATTTTCTGTAAATATTTGTTTGAAACAATTTCATACAAACCTGGACCCACGATGTAACGAGGTTCAAGTGGTGTCAATTAAAATATGACTCTTTATGATACCCTTACTGAACATTATGTGTGTAATGCCAACTGAGAGCAGAATTATCAGATATTTTGTTAAATTGGGGTTATATAAGATTCTCCAAATTACCCCACAGCGCAAGTGTAAGTGGAGGCTATTAAGAAGAAAGTAAATGCGGCCGCCCAAATCATCTTATTTTACTGTGGCCTTCTATATGTTCGAGGTTACTTGACCCAATGGGTGTTCCAATTTGAACGCTAGAATCCCCTAATACCTAATCTTTTGGTCCATACACATATTAGGCATTAATTTTTTCAATATGAAATTGATTTATTATGTCTTATACTCTGTTATACTAAATGAGTATTCACGCCCGTCCCTCGTGGATTGTATTGTGGTGCACCTGGGTAGCTGGTCATCCGTAATACATTAAAAATTCAATTCACTCGGTTTAGATACATTGCTATCTTAAAAAAAAAATGTGTGCGTGTACTAGTGTACACACGTAAGAAGTGAAACTTCTTTATGGCCTTATTTTTCGAAAAATGATCTACATGCAACTTTCCAGAAATTGGTTAAATAAAGTTAAATTAGATAAAGTTTAAACAAAAGGATTTTATTATCATAGACATGAATACAAATTACTGCCTATGAAACTGTTATGATTACACGGCTCAGTAATCTAAGGCACATGTTCCACCTCCGACGATGAACGATAAGCGAGTAGAAACTAGAAACGAATTGGCAGTCCTGAGTTAAAATGCACGCGCACGGCTTTTGACAGCCAAGCCAGCTTAACCGAGCGAGTATAGCTGAGCGAGTATCGCTGAGCGAGTATCGCTGAGCGAGTACCGCTGAGCGAGTACCGCTGAGCGAGTATCGCTGAGCGAGTCTTATCTTTAATAACTATTGTCACTCAGCTACAAACGAGTAGAGAGAGTTCTCGCCGGCGACAGTGTGATCATTCAGCTATCAACTATTAATATAAAAAAAGATGGCGCGTAACGGAAAAATGTGACGCGTAACGTCCGAAAAAATGTGACGGTAAATTTTTTTCCAACGCCGATAAAGAAGTTTCACTTCAAAAATACGAATCATTTAATAAGAAATATTTAAAATGTGGATTTGAAAAAAACTTATGATTAATTTTTTTTTTATTCTTTATTAAGCCATACATACACCTTAAAGGTTAAGCCGGCTATTATGAGAATTAATGTTTGTTCTAAAAACAAATTTTAATTAAAATACAAAGCATACAAAACACGAAAACTAAAGTTTTTTCATTGAATTAGCTAGTTTTAAAATTCAAATAAAATTAAAAAAATACTAAGCACATTACAAACTTAGTCGAGGGAGATTAATGTTTAAGTTTAATGTGACCCAGAGGCATGCTAACTGAAAATTTTAGTCGCAAACATAAAATGGATGTTAGCTTCGCAGATGCCAACTTATATTAGATTTTGTCTTTGCATTAATTAAAAAAAGTTTGAAAAGAAAGTAGTTTTAAATAGTATTATCATTTAAATCATTACCAACTGAATGTTCCAAAATTCAATTTTGTTTTTAATAATTTTAACTCTCAAACGTTATAATCGACACATCAAAAAAAAAAGTTTGCGATCACTTTGAAAAATCGATTGTTTCTTGTGCTACAGAAGACTTTTTGGTAATTTCTTTTTCTGATAGGATTGTATATTTTAATTAGAACGTAAAACAATAAAATATTTCAATTGTTTTTCCATATAAAAAGACATGCAATCTAAGCTGACACTCATTCAGAAATCTGACTTAGTCAATATTATCGAATTTAAAATATTTTTTCACGGAAAGTTGTGATTTAAAAAATGCCACGAGGGTTATCAGATGTTTAACGAGCTAGAATTGTAACTTTGAGGGAAGAGGGTTATTCTACGAGAGAAATAGCAAGCAGAGTTGCCATTTCCCAATCCTGTGTACTAACTACGTTGCAGAGGTACCACGGCATGGGTAATATAGCGGATCGACCCGCAGAACGCAGCGGTTTTGACAGCTGCTCAAAAGCATTACATCAGGTTGCTGGTAGCCCGTGACCCAATAATAAACGCCACTAAATTAAAAGCAAAAATACGGGCCTCCTTCGGACTGCAAGTTAGCACTCAGACCACTTGGAACGTCAGCGACGGAGATTACAGTGGGCTAGGCTCCGGCAAAACGAAGAAGACGAAGAGGGAAACATTTGGGAAAACTGCTTTCTTGTTGACGAATCGCGAATCAGTACTCATCCAGATAACCGACGTATCCGTGTTTGGAGAAGACCTGAAGACTCTGAAAGGCAAAGAACGGCCACTGGAACGGTTCAGCTAGGCGGGAAATCAGTGTCCTTTTGGGGTGGTATTATAATTGGGGCTAGAACGCCTTGAATCCCTTATCAAGGCTTCATGACGGCAGACAGATACAAAACAGTCGCTATTGATGGAATCGTCAGACCTTTCCACGTAAACCTTGGGCACTAATTTGTACTGGTTGACGATAATGCGCCCGCACATCTTTGAGTTCAACGCGTCAATGTTGCTCTCCAAGAATAAGAAATCACAAGGTTAGACTGACCTGCCGGCTCTCCTGACTTAAACCCAATAGAGCACGCGTGGGATGCTCTTAAGCGAGCTGTTTGGAACCGGCAGCCCCAGACAGTACTGCCGCAGCTCAGGGAAGCTGCTGTTCAAGAATGGGACAGGTTACCACAAGAAATGTTGGATAACTTGATCCTCAGCATGCCCAGGAGGATCTCCGCATGTGTTCGAGCCAGAGGAGGAGTTATTTTGTATTAGATAAACAACAATTTATCAATAAAAGGTTTTAAAGTTTGGAAAAACTTTTTTTATTTCTATCAAAGTTCTATTACCTTCTATTGCCTTAGAATAGAATTATTATTGTTTTTATACTAAAAAATAAAATAAGTTTTATTTTTTTATTTCAGAAAGTGTATTTTTAAATAAAAAAAGATATAACGTAACCATTTTCTCTTGATTAAGTTAAATTTTGAAAATATATCAGCTTTTGCAAGTGATCTCAAACTTCTTTTGATGTGTGTATACACTAAACAATAGAATTTTCAATAAAAAAAAATAATAGTGATTATTCTTGTAACGGATTTAACAGTTCTTGCTTAAAGCTATGCTAATAGTAAAACCACAAACAAGATTATGCAAATCACCATACCGTAAAAGCTGAAATTTCCACACAATAGGGAGTCAAACTGAAAAGAATAAATAAATTGAATTTTCAATTAAAACTTCGATTTTAGTAAGTGATTACTCTTGTAACAGATTTCACAGTTCTTGCTTATAGCCATGGTCATGCCAATGAATAGTTAAATCCGAAAGATGATTATGCAGACCACCATATAATAAAATCTGAAATCCCTTTACAATAGGCAGTGAAGCTGAAAAGAATAAATAACTATGAATCGGAAGGTTTAATATGTCATGAGGATTGTTAACACAATTTGGGCTTAATTGGGGTTTTCTGTATACTTTTCACACTAATGAAATAAATAAATTTTAGTTTAAGAAAAGGCTTAGTATTTCCCTGAATGTATAGCGGAACAGATAAGATGAAAACTTGGCACGGCGTGCAAAGTTGCTTTTGTGTTTGTACCCCGCTTTTTGAAGCATGAAAAACCTTTTAGTCAACATAAGTACTAAGATAAGGCTAACTACGAAGAGTGGAATAGACAAAATATTATAATTATATCAATGTCATAAGGAGAAGGTTATGTACTTACTACTAATTTGGATTCATTTCTTGTCACTCTGATTTATATACAGATTCATGTAAATGTTGATTTTGTTTCATAAAGTGTTTAACGTATAAGATGATTGGGTTCTGGACTACAAGATAAGGATGGTTGGAGAGGTAAACTTTTCAACTTCACTAGTTTCCAAACTTGAGGTAGGGCAGGATATTAAGCCGTAATATGCAAAAAAACTCAAGTGTTTATTGGGAGACATTCGCTATTCTCGGACGTTCATTGGTTCCCGTGATTAATGACAAAGCTAATTTAGTTAATACAAGCTTCATTGGAAACGAAACGGACGTGTAAGTTGGAACATTGTGCCACTTTCTATTAAACGAAGTGCGGAAAACACGATCCACACTACCTAATGAAGACTAATTTATTGTGTAAAAGTTGGAGCCAGGCCAAAAACAAATCCAATAGCGAAATTAGAGCGGGGCGGTATCCCGCTGTTATTTCAGCTGAATTTGCAATAAATACCAGCCCAACCCTTGTTTAAATAATCCTAGTGCTTCCATAGAATTCCTAGCATAACAAGCATGATAACTAAAGAAGAATTTATTGCTCTATTTGGTGTGAAATTTCAGAACTAGTCCAGTAATTAGTATAAATGATACGCGCACGTAGAATTTTAGACCCCCTTAAGCACAATTTGCATATGGAAAAGTAAGATTTTGCATACCTAATTAAAGTATATATGGAAAGGGAGTGTATGAAGCTTATATTTTTATGTAATAATGGGTTAAAAATACATTTACGACGATTCAAATGAAATTTTTAAAATCATTAATAAAAAAATCGTTCCTCAATTGGGAGTCGAACCTGGGCCGCCCGCGTTGCAGACGAGCTTTCTACTACTAAATAAAACCACTGATGCTTGTCAGATTTCAGATTTTTTTAATATCAATTAAAAAATTTATGCGACATGCTAATACAAAATGATAAAATTGTGGCAAGGCAGCGATGTAATAAACGTTTTACTTTAAAAATTAATACTACCCAAACCTTCTACTATAAGGCCGTATTCAGAAAGAAAGCTGGTAGCCTACCAGCGCTTATAGGAACCGGTCCACGCAGGTAACCGGGGCAGGCATTTCTATGGCCCAGCGCCGATAAGCGCCGAACTTCGCCGACAAATTCCGACAATCTTCGACACGAGCTGGTCAGCGCTGGCAGATTAAATCAATCTTAGTTATTTTTATAAATACTATAATATAATAAAAACTCTATGTTTTATCAACTAAGCGCTAAAATTATTTTTTTCGTACTTACCGAATGGTGACAACAAGTATTTCTTCTGGAAGGATTGGTTGTTTATGCCAATTACACCAATTTTTCATCAAATGGTTTTTCACTAAGTCCAATAAGTAATAAAATGCTTTTTAAGTCATTCTTGTATATTATGTATAAAATCTTTGATCAAATTTCATTTTTTTTACAAATAAATGATGGTATTCTCCAAAACGTTTCCTATCTCTATTTATAGGATGTATAGCTTTTTTTCGCATTTTTAAATACACATTTTCTAACAAAACCAAATCATCATCCGATGAGTCCGATATTTTGCTTGCTCTGCTTCAATCTACTTCCTTTATGTAACTGTTACCAGTAAGGACCAGTGCTGACAAGCGCTGGTCGGCTTCCAGCTTTCTTTCTGGATACGACCTAAGTTTTCCTTACTATCTATGGCCAGTATAAGAAACCTCGCTCCATACCCTCGCACGTGTATTACTCATAGTCGGGTTTGTTATAGCTTTTTACGAAATATATTAAATATAATTATTTATTTTGTGTCACTGATTAATAAAAAGAATGCTAAAAAACTATTCTAATTCACTCAATAAAAGCTGTTTGAATAGTCCTTAAATATATTAAAGTATCTGTTCAGGACGTCGAAGAAAGGGCGAAATAAACTTATCAGTATTAAATGCGGAAGCGACATTTACATAAAATATTAAATTGTTCTTGTCAGTACTGTTATAATTACATAGTTTAATTATTTAGTGTTTCATGTTTCTTGTATCAAGAACATACTTACAAAGCTTCCATTCCCTGATATTTCGATTGTTCAAATAGTCTTGGCTTTGCCCATTAGTGTACTTTCGACGCTTGTTTCAAAAGGTCAATAAATAAGATAATTATCATTCCTATTTTTTTCAGGTAGCAGTGAACTAGCTGTGAAAAAGACCACTTGATAAATATTGAAAATTAGTTAGTGAAAATTTTACAATTGCATAAAGTAAGTACACACTTGCTTGTAACATAGCATACTTTAGTTATAAAATTAAAATCATTGTGATTTATTTTGTATTTCTTGTACTACAATCGCGACTTTTTCTTTATTACTACTGATTAAAATCATATTTATAGATTTTTTTTTATTGAAACGAAGTGTTAAATCTTTATTTATTAAATTTTTGCTTTAAATGGTCACATGTATCTGGCGGAATTTGTTCACATGATCGCATTTATTTATGCATTTATTTTCGGTTTAAGGTTTGAAACTGTAATGAATTATATTGTATAACTATGTTTGAAAATAATAACTTAAAAATTTGTTATTTATCAAAGCTTTGATGTTTCGTCATATAAAAATTTCTTTAATCTACATCAATAGCAATAGTTTTTCATTATCGCAATTCGGTAATGCAAGTCCTATTATCAAATACAGATGTTTGATGTTGATTGCTAACTTTTAATCTTAATTTAGAAAATTAGAAATAGATAAAAGATTACATATGAAACAATACATTACGTTTGTGCGTTAATAGGTTTCAACCACAAATATGTCATTATCACGTGTGTCGTGAAACCAAGTGAAACCTAAGTCGGTATTTGTCGGTCTTTGATATCCAATATTGTCTTAGATTTGTACTGAGCGTCGAATTTAATAACAGTGCCATATGGCGGAATTTGATTAGCTTGTATCATTCACCCAGCAATACAACAGGAAATACGGATTTAATCGAGAAACTCGACCCAAATAACTTAGGTTGGTGTATATTTACCAAGTTTATTAAGAAAAGATGACGGTTTTAATTCTATGGCAACATCAGGCAACTGGGGTCAAAACATAATCAACTTAACATTATATACCTATTTTTATGACTTTTTTGTAATTGTTAAAGATAAAGTAAGTATGTAAAAATTGTGTAAGTAATAATTTCGTCATTTTCATTGTATATTAAAATAATATGTTCATCATGATGTCATTAAGATTGGGTAATAATTATTTTCATTGCACACATTACAGTAAAACCGTCAATAGTTGGAGCTTATTGCATTGTAAATAATACCTATACATTAATGAATCGAATGATCCAAAAATAAAAAATGTAGGATTTTCCTATTAATTAAAGAATGGTGACACTGATTTGTTTAGATCATAAGTACCTAAGTATTTAATTGGTTAATTATTTTATGGTGAAAAAAAATCGACTTGTGTAATGTTTTTTATCTGTGATACTAAGATACTGTTAACGTTACTATCATTGTACGGTAAAAGTGAAATTTAATATATGTATGACATTGCATATGTATTGTTTTTTTATCCATAATCATTCTCATTATCAGCCTATTAATGTCACCACTGCTAGGGCAAAATCCTTCTCTACGGATTGTGGTCTATGAGCCACCACGCGGGTCCAGTGCGGATTGGTGGGTGCTAAAGACCGAAGATGCAGCTAGGACAAACGGCTTAACGTGCCATCCGAAATACGGAGGAGCTCGAGATCCTAAATTTTTGGTCACCCATCTAATGACGGACGACTGCGAAAGTTCCTTAACTTCAACGATCGCAGCCACGCGCTAACCACTTACCCCATCGAGCTCCTCGAGGTACATTCCCGAGGTTTTATTTATAATATCCGCCAAAAATATTTAAGCTTCGGAACCCTAATCTACTGAGAATCTTAAAGGTGATAAAATTATTTCCTTTTGAATTTATTGTGACATACATATACTTATACGCAGGTAATCAAAATTGAATTTAGTAGAGTAAGATTCAAAGGCTGCTAGACCTTTCTGATGGACATATGGATAGTCGAGTAATATTAGTGTGTACCTACAGTAAACGTACATACTCGCTAACCTTGTGATGTGCGCCAATTCTTAGATATCAGGTGGCAACCGTAGCGTTAGCGAGTATATATTATTATACGCTACGTTCATTGTACACACTAATACTACGCACACACACCTTTTTTTTTATACGCAGGCAAACAAAACTATTTACAAGCCTTACGAGCCCCAGCAGTGGCTGCCTACTGAGGACCCCGTAACCTTTACGGCATAATATCCGCTGAAAAACCCTGCGAACACCCTCTAAGCTGCTTAGCGCGTAGCCGCGGGATCCCCGTTTAGGGATTCATCCGAGTCTCCGCACCTAGCAGCCTCCCGGCTTTGCCGGGGCTCCGCGACAGGGGTCTCCCGGGGTATCCCTGGGACCCCGCAGACGTGCGCAGGATGGCCCGCGCGTGAGGGCTGAGTACGCGGCCTAGTGCCCACCGTACCGCCCCCCGTCCGCTGCGGAGGGCTACTTGGGCGTGCCAATGTAGCTCCCTTCGCCGCCCCCCTCTTTGCAGAACAGAACTACAAGGGGCGGCTGCCGTCACGGGGTCCGTCGGTGGCCGGCACAGCTGTCTCTATGCTGGTCAGCGAGGGAGCGATTGTACACACCTACATGTTTTGTCCTTCAGAATATAAGTAAGGCCTGGCGGCCTCGGTATTTTTGTGTTGAAAAGAGTTAAAATAGAGAAAACGGTTAGACTTTGGCATTAAATTAATGATCGATGTCATTCTGTCTTTTAGATTATGACCGCTACTTAAGGACAAACTTTATGAATAAATAGTGATTCTCAAAATAGTTATAAATTAAAAGGGCCATAACGCGCCACGCAGACCATGTAATGTGTACCTATTCGATAGAACTAGAAGAAGCTAACTTTGTTAATGAGTCTGGAATGAATGATCGTGTTTTCCGAAATACGAAGCTTAAAATATACATTTTCATTCCGATTACATCTGCTGACCAGCCCTTTATAAGCTCCTAAGCTTGTAACAAAAAGTGCTCAGCTAGTGCTATAAAAATCCATGATCCTCAAATTAATATTTTGTTTTTCTATGTTCTTTCCATTCGCGGGCCTGCTGGAAGAAATTTCATTGTACATGTCTCTTGTTTCTCTTTTTTCTAATATTTTATTGTGTGTGTACAAAATAAATAAATAATAACATTAATTAGTCATCATCATCATCAGCTTATTAATATTACCACTGCTGGTGCACATGCCCCCCTCATGGATGTAATTGGGAGATTGGGCTATGACCCACCACGCGGGCCCATTGCGGATTTGTGGGTGCTAACGACTGCAGCATGGACCAACGGCTTAACATGCCTTCCAAAGCAAGGACGAGCCCGATATAGTAAATTTTTATCAATCATCGATCAATTTGTACTTGTGTCCAAATAAGATACACTGATTCTGAATTCTAATAGTCCAAGAACCCAAGTCATCTCACTTCATTACTATAATAGCGAGCCTACGTACAACCCATCAAACGTGTTTGGGTATAATCAAATTTTGATTAATCATCAGGTAATTAATTCATCTAATTATCTAATTAAACAAATCCATAATTGACAACTTAACATACAGTGCTTTGATCCCGAGGTTTAGTATATATTGCTGTAGCACTGTAATGGAAATCGGATTCTACCAAATAACATACATAGAAATCATAATTTCCTGCATATAAAATGCGCGATCTTCTCTCATATACAGGGATCATATATGAACTAATTTGGTAAAAAGAAGTCAGTAGAATAAAAATTTATTAAAAAAAGTGATATACTCAGCTCAATCAAGGAGGTCTAAAGCAATTAGTATACAAAAATTAATAGTTTCAAAAACTAAAAACACGCTTTATTTACTGCACTAACAAGCCAAAAATTAACAAAATATACTCTCTGTTTACTTCATTAGGCCTTACAGTTAGCCATTTTTATAGTTTATTTTAACATAAATATATAACTGAAAAAACGTGGGGTGCTATTCATTGCAATATTTATCAAATCAATTAATATATTATGTAATTCATAATGCTGTTAAAATTTAATAATGAAGCGCCCCACGCTTTTTCGTTATTTAGTTACACACACGTTATTAGTTTTTCTATATATATGTTAAAAAACTATAAATATGGCTAACTCTAAGGCCGATCAGCTCGATGGTACCATAATATTGTATTGTCATCTAAACTACATATAATTGCAAAGTTTAATTATGTTAAGACGAATCTCATGGGCCCAAACTTGATTTGTTTACTAGTAGGCAGTTCAGGGTCCATCAGCCACCTTCTAGTCCATCGTCAAGTCCTCGTCATCAGGAGAAGTTAATCGAATATGTTAAGGTGGATTTAATGAGCCCAAACTCGATATGTTTACTAGTAGGCAGTCCAAGGTTCCATCAGCCACCTTCCAGTCCCATCATCAGACCAGCTCGATGGTACCATAATATTGTTTTGTTACTATCTACATATAATTGCAAAATTTTATTATGTTAAGACGAATCTCATGAGCCCAAACTCGATTTGTTTACTAGTAGGCACTCCAGGGTCCATCAGCCACCTTCCAGTCCATCGTCAAGTCTTCGTCATCAAGAGAAAGAATAGAATATGTTAAGGCAAATCTAATGAGCCCAAATTCGATATGTTTACTAGTAAACAGTCCAAGGTTCCATCAGCCACCTTCCAGTCCCACCATCAGACCAGCTCGATGGTACCATAATATTGTATTGTCATCTAATCTACATATAATTGCCAAGTTTCGTGATGATACAAGAATTAGAAGTGCGTGTAATTCAGATTCTTAGATTTCATTACATAGTTACATACAAGTGGACCTAAAAGCGTGTTAATAAACCAAGAATTTTGAAAATTAATATAGGCACTAAAGAAAATAGGAAACCCAACTTGAATTCAATCTCAGAAAGATGACACTAGGCTCTCTCTTATTTCTTGAATGCAAAACAGACTATATACTGTACATAGTCTGTTTTGCATTACAGTATATAATATTAAGTATTTATATATAATATACATTAAGCAAGATCACCACTCTCTATAGTTGTCTCTTTCGAACAACACCGTATATTTTGTCGTATAAATTAGAGTACAGCCAAGAAATTCAAGCGTCTAATAAAATTCAGCGCTCGTAAATTACATAAATAACATTTTTCTAAGTACTTTCTAGTCGTGCGACTTTCCTGTTCACGATGTTTTTTACAAAGGAGGTGGAGTCTTCGGCCAGATGGTTCTATAAATCATCTCTTAGGCCAAAACTCTGAAAACAGATGATACATGATGGTTATGGTTGGTGTATAGCATTTTTTTTTGGTAATAATTAAGTAGGTATCAACTTCCAAGGGAATAGAGTTTGGAGTTGAAGAGCTCTATGGCACAGTTGTTGGCGCATTCGGTCCTCGATTGTGGAAGTTAAGAGTCACGTGTACGAGTAGAGTTAGCTGTAGAGCAAGGCTGCTCAACCTTTTGAAGAGTCGGGCCAAAAGGTGGATTTAGTCGTTAACGACGGGCCACTTACATTTCCTATTTCAGTTACTCTCTGGACAAGCGCAATAAAAAATTAATTATTGTGAATATAAAATTGAATTATTGTTTATTAGGAACAAAGAGAATCTTATTCTCAATATTATTATTAAAAAGAGATACAAAATTTTAATTAAGTTAGTTCCTATGTCTGTGTTTCTTCTCAAATCTAAATCAACTTTTTGATTCAAAGTCAAAGTCAAATTATTTATGCAGTTTAGATAATTACATACAAATGAATGAATGTCAAATTATGCCAACCGTTCACTACCAGGAGGCCTTTTTCTGAGAAGAACGGGCAAGAAACTCAGCAAGTTGTTTCCTACCTTTCCAAAAAAATTTTTTGAAAAGTCGTTTGAAAGATTTTACAGTGTGCAATTGCCAAGAAAGCAAAGAAAAATGCTATTGTCAATATTATACAAAGACTTTTACAAACTGTTACATCTTCCTAATAATAAAACTAATTTATATTTACTTTAACTTTTTAATACAATCAATATGACTTCTGCCATTGTTTGTCTTTTAATAATTTACTTATATTTACTTGTTCGGCGTTGGCTTCTGCCAACGTCGGATTTGTCACAACAACAAGTCACAAATATGTTGCTCGGGCTGTACTGTGCGCGGCGGGATTTCTGAATTTGGTACGTATTTTCAACCATACTTGCGCGGGCCCCTCAAAATTCTTTTCTGGGGCCTGGGGTTGAGCAGCCTTGCTGTAGAGTCTGGTTAGTATACTACTGTTCCGTGTACTCAACCAAAGTTTTGTTAAGTACTTTGAATTGGCCCACGTTGCTAGTTATTCTAGTCTCCCAAAATATTATAGTCAACTCTACCAATATTGTCATTAGGTTAATTTTTAGCATGTTTAGTACTCTATTATGCTTGTATACATTTACTCTACTCGTGTGCCCTGCCGTTAGGTCAACATA